ATGTGGATGGCATGGTGTCTGGCGCCGTGCACACCACCATCGCCACCATCCGCCCGGCTGTACAGATGATACCCGTGAGTAGAGATGGTGATGATCCCTGTGACTGCTGCTCTGAGTGTGCAACAGCAGGCGATGTGGATGGCATGGTGTCTGGCGCCGTGCACACCACCATCGCCACCATCCGCCCGGCTGTACAGATGATACCCGTGAGTAGAGATGGTGATGATCTCTGTGACTGCTGCTCTGAGTGTGCAACAGCAGGCGATGTGGATGGCATGGTGTCTGGCGCCGTGCACACCACCATCGCCACCATCCGCCCGGCTGTACAGATGATACCCGTGAGTAGAGATGGTGATGATCCCTGTGACTGCTGCTCTGAGTGTGCAACAGCAGGCGATGTGGATGGCATGGTGTCTGGCGCCGTGCACACCACCATCGCCACCATCCGCCCGGCTGTACAGATGATACCCGTGAGTAGAGATGGTGATGATCCCTGTGACTGCTGCTCTGAGTGTGCAACAGCAGGCGATGTGGATGGCATGGTGTCTGGCGCCGTGCACACCACCATCGCCACCATCCGCCCGGCTGTACAGATGATACCCGTGAGTAGAGATGGTGATGATCTCTGTGACTGCTGCTCTGAGTGTGCAACAGCAGGCGATGTGGATGGCATGGTGTCTGGCGCCGTGCACACCACCATCGCCACCATCCGCCCGGCTGTACAGATGATACCCGTGAGTAGAGATGGTGATGATCCCTGTGACTGCTGCTCTGAGTGTGCAACAGCAGGCGATGTGGATGGCATGGTGTCTGGCGCCGTGCACACCACCATCGCCACCATCCGCCCGGCTGTACAGATGATACCCGTGAGTAGAGATGGTGATGATCCCTGTGACTGCTGCTCTGAGTGTGCAACAGCAGGCGATGTGGATGGCATGGTGTCTGGCGCCGTGCACACCACCATCGCCACCATCCGCCCGGCTGTACAGATGATACCCGTGAGTAGAGATGGTGATGATCTCTGTGACTGCTGCTCTGAGTGTGCAACAGCAGGCGATGTGGATGGCATGGTGTCTGGCGCCGTGCACACCACCATCGCCACCATCCGCCCGGCTGTACAGATGATACCCGTGAGTAGAGATGGTGATGATCCCTGTGACTGCTGCTCTGAGTGTGCAACAGCAGGCGATGTGGATGGCATGGTGTCTGGCGCCGTGCACACCACCATCGCCACCATCCGCCCGGCTGTACAGATGATACCCGTGAGTAGAGATGGTGATGATCCCTGTGACTGCTGCTCTGAGTGTGCAACAGCAGGCGATGTGGATGGCATGGTGTCTGGCGCCGTGCACACCACCATCGCCACCATCCGCCCGGCTGTACAGATGATACCCGTGAGTAGAGATGGTGATGATCCCTGTGACTGCTGCTCTGAGTGTGCAACAGCAGGCGATGTGGATGGCATGGTGTCTGGCGCCGTGCACACCACCATCGCCACCATCCGCCCGGCTGTACAGATGATACCCGTGAGTAGAGATGGTGATGATCCCTGTGACTGCTGCTCTGAGTGTGCAACAGCAGGCGATGTGGATGGCATGGTGTCTGGCGCCGTGCACACCACCATCGCCACCATCCGCCCGGCTGTACAGATGATACCCGTGAGTAGAGATGGTGATGATCCCTGTGACTGCTGCTCTGAGTGTGCAACAGCAGGCGATGTGGATGGCATGGTGTCTGGCGCCGTGCACACCACCATCGCCACCATCCGCCCGGCTGTACAGATGATCCCCGTGAGTAGAGATGGTGATGATCCCTGTGACTGCTGCTCTGAGTGTGCAACAGCAGGCGATGTGGATGGCATGGTGTCTGGCGCCGTGCACACCACCATCGCCACCATCCGCCCGGCTGTACAGATGATCCCCGTGAGTAGAGATGGAGATGATCCCTGTGACTGCTGCTCTGAGTGTGCAACAGCAGGCGATGTGGATGGCATGGTGTCTGGCGCCGTGCACACCACCATCGCCACCATCCGCCCGGCTGTACAGATGATCCCCGTGAGTAGAGATGGTGATGATCCCTGTGACTGCTGCTCTGAGTGTGCAACAGCAGGCGATGTGGATGGCATGGTGTCTGGCGCCGTGCACACCACCATCGCCACCATCCGCCCGGCTGTACAGATGATCCCCGTGAGTAGAGATGGTGATGATCCCTGTGACTGCTGCTCTGAGTGTGCAACAGCAGGCGATGTGGATGGCATGGTGTCTGGCGCCGTGCACACCACCATCGCCACCATCCGCCCGGCTGTACAGATGATCCCCGTGAGTAGAGATGGTGATGATCCCTGTGACTGCTGCTCTGAGTGTGCAACAGCAGGCGATGTGGATGGCATGGTGTCTGGCGCCGTGCACACCACCATCGCCACCATCCGCCCGGCTGTACAGATGATACCCGTGAGTAGAGATGGTGATGATCCCTGTGACTGCTGCTCTGAGTGTGCAACAGCAGGCGATGTGGATGGCATGGTGTCTGGCGCCGTGCACACCACCATCGCCACCATCCGCCCGGCTGTACAGATGATCCCCGTGAGTAGAGATGGTGATGATCCCTGTGACTGCTGCTCTGAGTGTGCAACAGCAGGCGATGTGGATGGCATGGTGTCTGGCGCCGTGCACACCACCATCGCCACCATCCGCCCGGCTGTACAGATGATACCCGTGAGTAGAGATGGTGATGATCCCTGTGACTGCTGCTCTGAGTGTGCAACAGCAGGCGATGTGGATGGCATGGTGTCTGGCGCCGTGCACACCACCATCGCCACCATCCGCCCGGCTGTACAGATGATCCCCGTGAGTAGAGATGGTGATGATCCCTGTGACTGCTGCTCTGAGTGTGCAACAGCAGGCGATGTGGATGGCATGGTGTCTGGCGCCGTGCACACCACCATCGCCACCATCCGCCCGGCTGTACAGATGATCCCCGTGAGTAGAGATGGTGATGATCCCTGTGACTGCTGCTCTGAGTGTGCAACAGCAGGCGATGTGGATGGCATGGTGTCTGGCGCCGTGCACACCACCATCGCCACCATCCGCCCGGCTGTACAGATGATCCCCGTGAGTAGAGATGGTGATGATCCCTGTGACTGCTGCTCTGAGTGTGCAACAGCAGGCGATGTGGATGGCATGGTGTCTGGCGCCGTGCACACCACCATCGCCACCATCCGCCCGGCTGTACAGATGATCCCCGTGAGTAGAGATGGTGATGATCCCTGTGACTGCTGCTCTGAGTGTGCAACAGCAGGCGATGTGGATGGCATGGTGTCTGGCGCCGTGCACACCACCATCGCCACCATCCGCCCGGCTGTACAGATGATCCCCGTGAGTAGAGATGGTGATGATCCCTGTGACTGCTGCTCTGAGTGTGCAACAGCAGGCGATGTGGATGGCATGGTGTCTGGCGCCGTGCACACCACCATCGCCACCATCCGCCCGGCTGTACAGATGATCCCCGTGAGTAGAGATGGTGATGATCCCTGTGACTGCTGCTCTGAGTGTGCAACAGCAGGCGATGTGGATGGCATGGTGTCTGGCGCCGTGCACACCACCATCGCCACCATCCGCCCGGCTGTACAGATGATCCCCGTGAGTAGAGATGGTGATGATCCCTGTGACTGCTGCTCTGAGTGTGCAACAGCAGGCGATGTGGATGGCATGGTGTCTGGCGCCGTGCACACCACCATCGCCACCATCCGCCCGGCTCTGCAAATGATACCCGTGAGTAGAGATGGTGATGATCCCTGTGACTGCTGCTCTGAGTGTGCAACAGCAGGCGATGTGGATGGCATGGTGTCTGGCGCCGTGCACACCACCATCGCCACCATCCGCCCGGCTGTACAGATGATCCCCGTGAGTAGAGATGGTGATGATCCCTGTGACTGCTGCTCTGAGTGTGCAACAGCAGGCGATGTGGATGGCATGGTGTCTGGCGCCGTGCACACCACCATCGCCACCATCCGCCCGGCTGTACAGATGATCCCCGTGAGTAGAGATGGTGATGATCCCTGTGACTGCTGCTCTGAGTGTGCAACAGCAGGCGATGTGGATGGCATGGTGTCTGGCGCCGTGCACACCACCATCGCCACCATCCGCCCGGCTGTACAGATGATCCCCGTGAGTAGAGATGGTGATGATCCCTGTGACTGCTGCTCTGAGTGTGCAACAGCAGGCGATGTGGATGGCATGGTGTCTGGCGCCGTGCACACCACCATCGCCACCATCCGCCCGGCTGTACAGATGATCCCCGTGAGTAGAGATGGTGATGATCCCTGTGACTGCTGCTCTGAGTGTGCAACAGCAGGCGATGTGGATGGCATGGTGTCTGGCGCCGTGCACACCACCATCGCCACCATCCGCCCGGCTGTACAGATGATCCCCGTGAGTAGAGATGGTGATGATCCCTGTGACTGCTGCTCTGAGTGTGCAACAGCAGGCGATGTGGATGGCATGGTGTCTGGCGCCGTGCACACCACCATCGCCACCATCCGCCCGGCTCTGCAAATGATACCCATGAGTAGAGATGGTGATGATCCCTGTGACTGCTGCTCTGAGTGTGCAACAGCAGGCGATGTGGATGGCATGGTGTCTGGCGCCGTGCACACCACCATCGCCACCATCCGCCCGGCTGTACAGATGATCCCCGTGAGTAGAGATGGTGATGATCCCTGTGACTGCTGCTCTGAGTGTGCAACAGCAGGCGATGTGGATGGCATGGTGTCTGGCGCCGTGCACACCACCATCGCCACCATCCGCCCGGCTGTACAGATGATCCCCGTGAGTAGAGATGGTGATGATCCCTGTGACTGCTGCTCTGAGTGTGCAACAGCAGGCGATGTGGATGGCATGGTGTCTGGCGCCGTGCACACCACCATCGCCACCATCCGCCCGGCTGTACAGATGATCCCCGTGAGTAGAGATGGTGATGATCCCTGTGACTGCTGCTCTGAGTGTGCAACAGCAGGCGATGTGGATGGCATGGTGTCTGGCGCCGTGCACACCACCATCGCCACCATCCGCCCGGCTGTACAGATGATCCCCGTGAGTAGAGATGGTGATGATCCCTGTGACTGCTGCTCTGAGTGTGCAACAGCAGGCGATGTGGATGGCATGGTGTCTGGCGCCGTGCACACCACCATCGCCACCATCCGCCCGGCTGTACAGATGATCCCCGTGAGCAGAGATGGTGATGATCCCTGTGACTGCTGCTCTGAGTGTGCAACAGCAGGCGATGTGGATGGCATGGTGTCTGGCGCCGTGCACACCACCATCGCCACCATCCGCCCGGCTGTACAGATGATCCCCGTGAGTAGAGATGGTGATGATCCCTGTGACTGCTGCTCTGAGTGTGCAACAGCAGGCGATGTGGATGGCATGGTGTCTGGCGCCGTGCACACCACCATCGCCACCATCCGCCCGGCTGTACAGATGATCCCCGTGAGCAGAGATGGTGATGATCCCTGTGACTGCTGCTCTGAGTGTGCAACAGCAGGCGATGTGGATGGCATGGTGTCTGGCGCCGTGCACACCACCATCGCCACCATCCGCCCGGCTGTACAGATGATCCCCGTGAGTAGAGATGGTGATGATCCCTGTGACTGCTGCTCTGAGTGTGCAACAGCAGGCGATGTGGATGGCATGGTGTCTGGCGCCGTGCACACCACCATCGCCACCATCCGCCCGGCTGTACAGATGATCCCCGTGAGTAGAGATGGTGATGATCCCTGTGACTGCTGCTCTGAGTGTGCAACAGCAGGCGATGTGGATGGCATGGTGTCTGGCGCCGTGCACACCACCATCGCCACCATCCGCCCGGCTGTACAGATGATACCCGTGAGTAGAGATGGTGATGATCCCTGTGACTGCTGCTCTGAGTGTGCAACAGCAGGCGATGTGGATGGCATGGTGTCTGGCGCCGTGCACACCACCATCGCCACCATCCGCCCGGCTGTACAGATGATACCCGTGAGTAGAGATGGTGATGATCCCTGTGACTGCTGCTCTGAGTGTGCAACAGCAGGCGATGTGGATGGCATGGTGTCTGGCGCCGTGCACACCACCATCGCCACCATCCGCTCGGCTGTACAGATGATCCCCGTGAGTAGAGATGGTGATGATCCCTGTGACTGCTGCTCTGAGTGTGCAACAGCAGGCGATGTGGATGGCATGGTGTCTGGCGCCGTGCACACCACCATCGCCACCATCCGCCCGGCTGTACAGATGATCCCCGTGAGTAGAGATGGTGATGATCCCTGTGACTGCTGCTCTGAGTGTGCAACAGCAGGCGATGTGGATGGCATGGTGTCTGGCGCCGTGCACACCACCATCGCCACCATCCGCCCGGCTGTACAGATGATCCCCGTGAGTAGAGATGGTGATGATCCCTGTGACTGCTGCTCTGAGTGTGCAACAGCAGGCGATGTGGATGGCATGGTGTCTGGCGCCGTGCACACCACCATCGCCACCATCCGCCCGGCTGTACAGATGATACCCGTGAGTAGAGATGGTGATGATCCCTGTGACTGCTGCTCTGAGTGTGCAACAGCAGGCGATGTGGATGGCATGGTGTCTGGCGCCGTGCACACCACCATCGCCACCATCCGCCCGGCTGTACAGATGATACCCGTGAGTAGAGATGGTGATGATCCCTGTGACTGCTGCTCTGAGTGTGCAACAGCAGGCGATGTGGATGGCATGGTGTCTGGCGCCGTGCACACCACCATCGCCACCATCCGCCCGGCTGTACAGATGATCCCCGTGAGTAGAGATGGTGATGATCCCTGTGACTGCTGCTCTGAGTGTGCAACAGCAGGCGATGTGGATGGCATGGTATCTGGCGCCGTGCACACCACCATCGCCACCATCCGCCCGGCTGTACAGATGATCCCCGTGAGTAGAGATGGTGATGATCCCTGTGACTGCTGCTCTGAGTGTGCAACAGCAGGCGATGTGGATGGCATGGTGTCTGGCGCCGTGCACACCACCATCGCCACCATCCGCCCGGCTGTACAGATGATACCCGTGAGTAGAGATGGTGATGATCCCTGTGACTGCTGCTCTGAGTGTGCAACAGCAGGCGATGTGGATGGCATGGTGTCTGGCGCCGTGCACACCACCATCGCCACCATCCGCCCGGCTGTACAGATGATACCCGTGAGTAGAGATGGTGATGATCCCTGTGACTGCTGCTCTGAGTGTGCAACAGCAGGCGATGTGGATGGCATGGTGTCTGGCGCCGTGCACACCACCATCGCCACCATCCGCCCGGCTGTACAGATGATCCCCGTGAGTAGAGATGGTGATGATCCCTGTGACTGCTGCTCTGAGTGTGCAACAGCAGGCGATGTGGATGGCATGGTGTCTGGCGCCGTGCACACCACCATCGCCACCATCCGCCCGGCTGTACAGATGATACCCGTGAGTAGAGATGGTGATGATCCCTGTGACTGCTGCTCTGAGTGTGCAACAGCAGGCGATGTGGATGGCATGGTGTCTGGCGCCGTGCACACCACCATCGCCACCATCCGCCCGGCTGTACAGATGATCCCCGTGAGTAGAGATGGTGATGATCCCTGTGACTGCTGCTCTGAGTGTGCAACAGCAGGCGATGTGGATGGCATGGTGTCTGGCGCCGTGCACACCACCATCGCCACCATCCGCCCGGCTGTACAGATGATCCCCGTGAGTAGAGATGGTGATGATCCCTGTGACTGCTGCTCTGAGTGTGCAACAGCAGGCGATGTGGATGGCATGGTGTCTGGCGCCGTGCACACCACCATCGCCACCATCCGCCCGGCTGTACAGATGATACCCGTGAGTAGAGATGGTGATGATCCCTGTGACTGCTGCTCTGAGTGTGCAACAGCAGGCGATGTGGATGGCATGGTGTCTGGCGCCGTGCACACCACCATCGCCACCATCCGCCCGGCTGTACAGATGATACCCGTGAGTAGAGATGGTGATGATCCCTGTGACTGCTGCTCTGAGTGTGCAACAGCAGGCGATGTGGATGGCATGGTGTCTGGCGCCGTGCACACCACCATCGCCACCATCCGCCCGGCTGTACAGATGATACCCGTGAGTAGAGATGGTGATGATCCCTGTGACTGCTGCTCTGAGTGTGCAACAGCAGGCGATGTGGATGGCATGGTGTCTGGCGCCGTGCACACCACCATCGCCACCATCCGCCCGGCTGTACAGATGATCCCCGTGAGTAGAGATGGTGATGATCCCTGTGACTGCTGCTCTGAGTGTGCAACAGCAGGCGATGTGGATGGCATGGTGTCTGGCGCCGTGCACACCACCATCGCCACCATCCGCCCGGCTGTACAGATGATACCCGTGAGTAGAGATGGTGATGATCCCTGTGACTGCTGCTCTGAGTGTGCAACAGCAGGCGATGTGGATGGCATGGTGTCTGGCGCCGTGCACACCACCATCGCCACCATCCGCCCGGCTGTACAGATGATCCCCGTGAGTAGAGATGGTGATGATCCCTGTGACTGCTGCTCTGAGTGTGCAACAGCAGGCGATGTGGATGGCATGGTGTCTGGCGCCGTGCACACCACCATCGCCACCATCCGCCCGGCTGTACAGATGATCCCCGTGAGTAGAGATGGTGATGATCCCTGTGACTGCTGCTCTGAGTGTGCAACAGCAGGCGATGTGGATGGCATGGTGTCTGGCGCCGTGCACACCACCATCGCCACCATCCGCCCGGCTGTACAGATGATCCCCGTGAGTAGAGATGGTGATGATCCCTGTGACTGCTGCTCTGAGTGTGCAACAGCAGGCGATGTGGATGGCATGGTGTCTGGCGCCGTGCACACCACCATCGCCACCATCCGCCCGGCTGTACAGATGATCCCCGTGAGTAGAGATGGTGATGATCCCTGTGACTGCTGCTCTGAGTGTGCAACAGCAGGCGATGTGGATGGCATGGTGTCTGGCGCCGTGCACACCACCATCGCCACCATCCGCCCGGCTGTACAGATGATCCCCGTGAGTAGAGATGGTGATGATCCCTGTGACTGCTGCTCTGAGTGTGCAACAGCAGGCGATGTGGATGGCATGGTGTCTGGCGCCGTGCACACCACCATCGCCACCATCCGCCCGGCTGTACAGATGATACCCGTGAGTAGAGATGGTGATGATCCCTGTGACTGCTGCTCTGAGTGTGCAACAGCAGGCGATGTGGATGGCATGGTGTCTGGCGCCGTGCACACCACCATCGCCACCATCCGCCCGGCTGTACAGATGATCCCCGTGAGTAGAGATGGTGATGATCCCTGTGACTGCTGCTCTGAGTGTGCAACAGCAGGCGATGTGGATGGCATGGTGTCTGGCGCCGTGCACACCACCATCGCCACCATCCGCCCGGCTGTACAGATGATCCCCGTGAGTAGAGATGGTGATGATCCCTGTGACTGCTGCTCTGAGTGTGCAACAGCAGGCGATGTGGATGGCATGGTGTCTGGCGCCGTGCACACCACCATCGCCACCATCCGCCCGGCTGTACAGATGATACCCGTGAGTAGAGATGGTGATGATCCCTGTGACTGCTGCTCTGAGTGTGCAACAGCAGGCGATGTGGATGGCATGGTGTCTGGCGCCGTGCACACCACCATCGCCACCATCCGCCCGGCTGTACAGATGATCCCCGTGAGTAGAGATGGTGATGATCCCTGTGACTGCTGCTCTGAGTGTGCAACAGCAGGTGATGTGGATGGCATGGTGTCTGGCGCCGTGCACACCACCATCGCCACCATCCGCCCGGCTGTACAGATGATCCCCGTGAGTAGAGATGGTGATGATCCCTGTGACTGCTGCTCTGAGTGTGCAACAGCAGGCGATGTGGATGGCATGGTGTCTGGCGCCGTGCACACCACCATCGCCACCATCCGCCCGGCTGTACAGATGATACCCGTGAGTAGAGATGGTGATGATCCCTGTGACTGCTGCTCTGAGTGTGCAACAGCAGGCGATGTGGATGGCATGGTGTCTGGCGCCGTGCACACCACCATCGCCACCATCCGCCCGGCTGTACAGATGATCCCCGTGAGTAGAGATGGTGATGATCCCTGTGACTGCTGCTCTGAGTGTGCAACAGCAGGCGATGTGGATGGCATGGTGTCTGGCGCCGTGCACACCACCATCGCCACCATCCGCCCGGCTGTACAGATGATACCCGTGAGTAGAGATGGTGATGATCCCTGTGACTGCTGCTCTGAGTGTGCAACAGCAGGCGATGTGGATGGCATGGTGTCTGGCGCCGTGCACACCACCATCGCCACCATCCGCCCGGCTGTACAGATGATCCCCGTGAGTAGAGATGGTGATGATCCCTGTGACTGCTGCTCTGAGTGTGCAACAGCAGGCGATGTGGATGGCATGGTGTCTGGCGCCGTGCACACCACCATCGCCACCATCCGCCCGGCTGTACAGATGATCCCCGTGAGTAGAGATGGTGATGATCCCTGTGACTGCTGCTCTGAGTGTGCAACAGCAGGCGATGTGGATGGCATGGTGTCTGGCGCCGTGCACACCACCATCGCCACCATCCGCCCGGCTGTACAGATGATACCCGTGAGTAGAGATGGTGATGATCCCTGTGACTGCTGCTCTGAGTGTGCAACAGCAGGCGATGTGGATGGCATGGTGCCTGGCGCCGTGCACACCACCATCGCCACCATCCGCCCGGCTGTACAGATGATACCCGTGAGTAGAGATGGTGATGATCCCTGTGACTGCTGCTCTGAGTGTGCAACAGCAGGCGATGTGGATGGCATGGTGTCTGGCGCCGTGCACACCACCATCGCCACCATCCGCCCGGCTGTACAGATGATACCCGTGAGTAGAGATGGTGATGATCCCTGTGACTGCTGCTCTGAGTGTGCAACAGCAGGCGATGTGGATGGCATGGTGTCTGGCGCCGTGCACACCACCATCGCCACCATCCGCCCGGCTGTACAGATGATACCCGTGAGTAGAGATGGTGATGATCCCTGTGACTGCTGCTCTGAGTGTGCAACAGCAGGCGATGTGGATGGCATGGTGTCTGGCGCCGTGCACACCACCATCGCCACCATCCGCCCGGCTGTACAGATGATCCCCGTGAGTAGAGATGGTGATGATCCCTGTGACTGCTGCTCTGAGTGTGCAACAGCAGGCGATGTGGATGGCATGGTGTCTGGCGCCGTGCACACCACCATCGCCACCATCCGCCCGGCTGTACAGATGATCCCCGTGAGTAGAGATGGTGATGATCCCTGTGACTGCTGCTCTGAGTGTGCAACAGCAGGCGATGTGGATGGCATGGTGTCTGGCGCCGTGCACACCACCATCGCCACCATCCGCCCGGCTGTACAGATGATACCCGTGAGTAGAGATGGTGATGATCCCTGTGACTGCTGCTCTGAGTGTGCAACAGCAGGCGATGTGGATGGCATGGTGTCTGGCGCCGTGCACACCACCATCGCCACCATCCGCCCGGCTGTACAGATGATCCCCGTGAGTAGAGATGGTGATGATCCCTGTGACTGCTGCTCTGAGTGTGCAACAGCAGGCGATGTGGATGGCATGGTGTCTGGCGCCGTGCACACCACCATCGCCACCATCCGCCCGGCTGTACAGATGATACCCGTGAGTAGAGATGGTGATGATCCCTGTGACTGCTGCTCTGAGTGTGCAACAGCAGGCGATGTGGATGGCATGGTGTCTGGCGCCGTGCACACCACCATCGCCACCATCCGCCCGGCTGTACAGATGATCCCCGTGAGTAGAGATGGTGATGATCCCTGTGACTGCTGCTCTGAGTGTGCAACAGCAGGCGATGTGGATGGCATGGTGTCTGGCGCCGTGCACACCACCATCGCCACCATCCGCCCGGCTGTACAGATGATCCCCGTGAGTAGAGATGGTGATGATCCCTGTGACTGCTGCTCTGAGTGTGCAACAGCAGGCGATGTGGATGGCATGGTGTCTGGCGCCGTGCACACCACCATCGCCACCATCCGCCCGGCTGTACAGATGATACCCGTGAGTAGAGATGGTGATGATCCCTGTGACTGCTGCTCTGAGTGTGCAACAGCAGGCGATGTGGATGGCATGGTGTCTGGCGCCGTGCACACCACCATCGCCACCATCCGCCCGGCTGTACAGATGATACCCGTGAGTAGAGATGGTGATGATCCCTGTGACTGCTGCTCTGAGTGTGCAACAGCAGGCGATGTGGATGGCATGGTGTCTGGCGCCGTGCACACCACCATCGCCACCATCCGCCCGGCTGTACAGATGATCCCCGTGAGTAGAGATGGTGATGATCCCTGTGACTGCTGCTCTGAGTGTGCAACAGCAGGCGATGTGGATGGCATGGTGTCTGGCGCCGTGCACACCACCATCGCCACCATCCGCCCGGCTGTACAGATGATCCCCGTGAGTAGAGATGGTGATGATCCCTGTGACTGCTGCTCTGAGTGTGCAACAGCAGGCGATGTGGATGGCATGGTGTCTGGCGCCGTGCACACCACCATCGCCACCATCCGCCCGGCTGTACAGATGATACCCGTGAGTAGAGATGGTGATGATCCCTGTGACTGCTGCTCTGAGTGTGCAACAGCAGGCGATGTGGATGGCATGGTGTCTGGCGCCGTGCACACCACCATCGCCACCATCCGCCCGGCTGTACAGATGATCCCCGTGAGTAGAGATGGTGATGATCCCTGTGACTGCTGCTCTGAGTGTGCAACAGCAGGCGATGTGGATGGCATGGTGTCTGGCGCCGTGCACACCACCATCGCCACCATCCGCCCGGCTGTACAGATGATACCCGTGAGTAGAGATGGTGATGATCCCTGTGACTGCTGCTCTGAGTGTGCAACAGCAGGCGATGTGGATGGCATGGTGTCTGGCGCCGTGCACACCACCATCGCCACCATCCGCCCGGCTGTACAGATGATACCCGTGAGTAGAGATGGTGATGATCCCTGTGACTGCTGCTCTGAGTGTGCAACAGCAGGCGATGTGGATGGCATGGTGTCTGGCGCCGTGCACACCACCATCGCCACCATCCGCCCGGCTGTACAGATGATACCCGTGAGTAGAGATGGTGATGATCCCTGTGACTGCTGCTCTGAGTGTGCAACAGCAGGCGATGTGGATGGCATGGTGTCTGGCGCCGTGCACACCACCATCGCCACCATCCGCCCGGCTGTACAGATGATACCCGTGAGTAGAGATGGTGATGATCCCTGTGACTGCTGCTCTGAGTGTGCAACAGCAGGCGATGTGGATGGCATGGTGTCTGGCGCCGTGCACACCACCATCGCCACCATCCGCCCGGCTGTACAGATGATACCCGTGAGTAGAGATGGTGATGATCCCTGTGACTGCTGCTCTGAGTGTGCAACAGCAGGCGATGTGGATGGCATGGTGTCTGGCGCCGTGCACACCACCATCGCCACCATCCGCCCGGCTGTACAGATGATCCCCGTGAGTAGAGATGGTGATGATCCCTGTGACTGCTGCTCTGAGTGTGCAACAGCAGGCGATGTGGATGGCATGGTGTCTGGCGCCGTGCACACCACCATCGCCACCATCCGCCCGGCTGTACAGATGATACCCGTGAGTAGAGATGGTGATGATCCCTGTGACTGCTGCTCTGAGTGTGCAACAGCAGGCGATGTGGATGGCATGGTGTCTGGCGCCGTGCACACCACCATCGCCACCATCCGCCCGGCTGTACAGATGATACCCGTGAGTAGAGATGGTGATGATCCCTGTGACTGCTGCTCTGAGTGTGCAACAGCAGGCGATGTGGATGGCATGGTGTCTGGCGCCGTGCACACCACCATCGCCACCATCCGCCCGGCTGTACAGATGATCCCCGTGAGTAGAGATGGTGATGATCCCTGTGACTGCTGCTCTGAGTGTGCAACAGCAGGCGATGTGGATGGCATGGTGTCTGGCGCCGTGCACACCACCATCGCCACCATCCGCCCGGCTGTACAGATGATACCCGTGAGTAGAGATGGTGATGATCCCTGTGACTGCTGCTCTGAGTGTGCAACAGCAGGCGATGTGGATGGCATGGTGTCTGGCGCCGTGCACACCACCATCGCCACCATCCGCCCGGCTGTACAGATGATACCCGTGAGTAGAGATGGTGATGATCCCTGTGACTGCTGCTCTGAGTGTGCAACAGCAGGCGATGTGGATGGCATGGTGTCTGGCGCCGTGCACACCACCATCGCCACCATCCGCCCGGCTGTACAGATGATACCCGTGAGTAGAGATGGTGATGATCCCTGTGACTGCTGCTCTGAGTGTGCAACAGCAGGCGATGTGGATGGCATGGTGTCTGGCGCCGTGCACACCACCATCGCCACCATCCGCCCGGCTGTACAGATGATACCCGTGAGTAGAGATGGTGATGATCCCTGTGACTGCTGCTCTGAGTGTGCATCAGCAGGCGATGTGGATGGCATGGTGTCTGGCGCCGTGCACACCACCATCGCCACCATCCGCCCGGCTGTACAGATGATCCCCGTGAGTAGAGATGGTGATGATCCCTGTGACTGCTGCTCTGAGTGTGCAACAGCAGGCGATGTGGATGGCATGGTGTCTGGCGCCGTGCACACCACCATCGCCACCATCCGCCCGGCTGTACAGATGATACCCGTGAGTAGAGATGGTGATGATCCCTGTGACTGCTGCTCTGAGTGTGCAACAGCAGGCGATGTGGATGGCATGGTGTCTGGCGCCGTGCACACCACCATCGCCACCATCCGCCCGGCTGTACAGATGATACCCGTGAGTAGAGATGGTGATGATCCCTGTGACTGCTGCTCTGAGTGTGCAACAGCAGGCGATGTGGATGGCATGGTGTCTGGCGCCGTGCACACCACCATCGCCACCATCCGCCCGGCTGTACAGATGATCCCCGTGAGTAGAGATGGTGATGATCCCTGTGACTGCTGCTCTGAGTGTGCAACAGCAGGCGATGTGGATGGCATGGTGTCTGGCGCCGTGCACACCACCATCGCCACCATCCGCCCGGCTGTACAGATGATACCCGTGAGTAGAGATGGTGATGATCCCTGTGACTGCTGCTCTGAGTGTGCAACAGCAGGCGATGTGGATGGCATGGTGTCTGGCGCCGTGCACACCACCATCGCCACCATCCGCCCGGCTGTACAGATGATACCCGTGAGTAGAGATGGTGATGATCCCTGTGACTGCTGCTCTGAGTGTGCAACAGCAGGCGATGTGGATGGCATGGTGTCTGGCGCCGTGCACACCACCATCGCCACCATCCGCCCGGCTGTACAGATGATACCCGTGAGTAGAGATGGTGATGATCCCTGTGACTGCTGCTCTGAGTGTGCAACAGCAGGCGATGTGGATGGCATGGTGTCTGGCGCCGTGCACACCACCATCGCCACCATCCGCCCGGCTGTACAGATGATACCCGTGAGTAGAGATGGTGATGATCCCTGTGACTGCTGCTCTGAGTGTGCAACAGCAGGCGATGTGGATGGCATGGTGTCTGGCGCCGTGCACACCACCATCGCCACCATCCGCCCGGCTGTACAGATGATACCCGTGAGTAGAGATGGTGATGATCCCTGTGACTGCTGCTCTGAGTGTGCAACAGCAGGCGATGTGGATGGCATGGTGTCTGGCGCCGTGCACACCACCATCGCCACCATCCGCCCGGCTGTACAGATGATACCCGTGAGTAGAGATGGTGATGATCCCTGTGACTGCTGCTCTGAGTGTGCAACAGCAGGCGATGTGGATGGCATGGTGTCTGGCGCCGTGCACACCACCATCGCCACCATCCGCCCGGCTGTACAGATGATACCCGTGAGTAGAGATGGTGATGATCCCTGTGACTGCTGCTCTGAGTGTGCAACAGCAGGCGATGTGGATGGCATGGTGTCTGGCGCCGTGCACACCACCATCGCCACCATCCGCCCGGCTGTACAGATGATACCCGTGAGTAGAGATGGTGATGATCCCTGTGACTGCTGCTCTGAGTGTGCAACAGCAGGCGATGTGGATGGCATGGTGTCTGGCGCCGTGCACACCACCATCGCCACCATCCGCCCGGCTGTACAGATGATACCCGTGAGTAGAGATGGTGATGGTCCCTGTGACTGCTGCTCTGAGTGTGCAACAGCAGGCGATGTGGATGGCATGGTGTCTGGCGCCGTGCACACCACCATCGCCACCATCCGCCCGGCTGTACAGATGATACCCGTGAGTAGAGATGGTGATGATCCCTGTGACTGCTGCTCTGAGTGTGCAACAGCAGGCGATGTGGATGGCATGGTGTCTGGCGCCGTGCACACCACCATCGCCACCATCCGCCCGGCTGTACAGATGATACCCGTGAGTAGAGATGGTGATGGTCCCTGTGACTGCTGCTCTGAGTGTGCAACAGCAGGCGATGTGGATGGCATGGTGTCTGGCGCCGTGCACACCACCATCGCCACCATCCGCCCGGCTGTACAGATGATACCCGTGAGTAGAGATGGTGATGATCCCTGTGACTGCTGCTCTGAGTGTGCAACAGCAGGCGATGTGGATGGCATGGTGTCTGGCGCCGTGCACACCACCATCGCCACCATCCGCCCGGCTGTACAGATGATACCCGTGAGTAGAGATGGTGATGATCCCTGTGACTGCTGCTCTGAGTGTGCAACAGCAGGCGATGTGGATGGCATGGTGTCTGGCGCCGTGCACACCACCATCGCCACCATCCGCCCGGCTGTACAGATGATACCCGTGAGTAGAGATGGTGATGATCCCTGTGACTGCTGCTCTGAGTGTGCAACAGCAGGCGATGTGGATGGCATGGTGTCTGGCGCCGTGCACACCACCATCGCCACCATCCGCCCGGCTGTACAGATGATACCCGTGAGTAGAGATGGTGATGATCCCTGTGACTGCTGCTCTGAGTGTGCAACAGCAGGCGATGTGGATGGCATGGTGTCTGGCGCCGTGCACACCACCATCGCCACCATCCGCCCGGCTGTACAGATGATACCCGTGAGTAGAGATGGTGATGATCCCTGTGACTGCTGCTCTGAGTGTGCAACAGCAGGCGATGTGGATGGCATGGTGTCTGGCGCCGTGCACACCACCATCGCCACCATCCGCCCGGCTGTACAGATGATACCCGTGAGTAGAGATGGTGATGATCCCTGTGACTGCTGCTCTGAGTGTGCAACAGCAGGCGATGTGGATGGCATGGTGTCTGGCGCCGTGCACACCACCATCGCCACCATCCGCCCGGCTGTACAGATGATCCCCGTGAGTAGAGATGGTGATGATCCCTGTGACTGCTGCTCTGAGTGTGCAACAGCAGGCGATGTGGATGGCATGGTGTCTGGCGCCGTGCACACCACCATCGCCACCATCCGCCCGGCTGTACAGATGATACCCGTGAGTAGAGATGGTGATGATCCCTGTGACTGCTGCTCTGAGTGTGCAACAGCAGGCGATGTGGATGGCATGGTGTCTGGCGCCGTGCACACCACCATCGCCACCATCCGCCCGGCTGTACAGATGATACCCGTGAGTAGAGATGGTGATGATCCCTGTGACTGCTGCTCTGAGTGTGCAACAGCAGGCGATGTGGATGGCATGGTGTCTGGCGCCGTGCACACCACCATCGCCACCATCCGCCCGGCTGTACAGATGATACCCGTGAGTAGAGATGGTGATGATCCCTGTGACTGCTGCTCTGAGTGTGCAACAGCAGGCGATGTGGATGGCATGGTGTCTGGCGCCGTGCACACCACCATCGCCACCATCCGCCCGGCTGTACAGATGATACCCGTGAGTAGAGATGGTGATGATCCCTGTGACTGCTGCTCTGAGTGTGCAACAGCAGGCGATGTGGATGGCATGGTGTCTGGCGCCGTGCACACCACCATCGCCACCATCCGCCCGGCTGTACAGATGATACCCGTGAGTAGAGATGGTGATGATCCCTGTGACTGCTGCTCTGAGTGTGCAACAGCAGGCGATGTGGATGGCATGGTGTCTGGCGCCGTGCACACCACCATCGCCACCATCCGCCCGGCTGTACAGATGATACCCGTGAGTAGAGATGGTGATGATCCCTGTGACTGCTGCTCTGAGTGTGCAACAGCAGGCGATGTGGATGGCATGGTGTCTGGCGCCGTGCACACCACCATCGCCACCATCCGCCCGGCTGTACAGATGATACCCGTGAGTAGAGATGGTGATGATCCCTGTGACTGCTGCTCTGAGTGTGCAACAGCAGGCGATGTGGATGGCATGGTGTCTGGCGCCGTGCACACCACCATCGCCACCATCCGCCCGGCTGTACAGATGATACCCGTGAGTAGAGATGGTGATGATCCCTGTGACTGCTGCTCTGAGTGTGCAACAGCAGGCGATGTGGATGGCATGGTGTCTGGCGCCGTGCACACCACCATCGCCACCATCCGCCCGGCTGTACAGATGATACCCGTGAGTAGAGATGGTGATGGTCCCTGTGACTGCTGCTCTGAGTGTGCAACAGCAGGCGATGTGGATGGCATGGTGTCTGGCGCCGTGCACACCACCATCGCCACCATCCGCCCGGCTGTACAGATGATACCCGTGAGTAGAGATGGTGATGATCCCTGTGACTGCTGCTCTGAGTGTGCAACAGCAGGCGATGTGGATGGCATGGTGTCTGGCGCCGTGCACACCACCATCGCCACCATCCGCCCGGCTGTACAGATGATACCCGTGAGTAGAGATGGTGATGGTCCCTGTGACTGCTGCTCTGAGTGTGCAACAGCAGGCGATGTGGATGGCATGGTGTCTGGCGCCGTGCACACCACCATCGCCACCATCCGCCCGGCTGTACAGATGATACCCGTGAGTAGAGATGGTGATGATCCCTGTGACTGCTGCTCTGAGTGTGCAACAGCAGGCGATGTGGATGGCATGGTGTCTGGCGCCGTGCACACCACCATCGCCACCATCCGCCCGGCTGTACAGATGATACCCGTGAGTAGAGATGGTGATGATCCCTGTGACTGCTGCTCTGAGTGTGCAACAGCAGGCGATGTGGATGGCATGGTGTCTGGCGCCGTGCACACCACCATCGCCACCATCCGCCCGGCTGTACAGATGATACCCGTGAGTAGAGATGGTGATGATCCCTGTGACTGCTGCTCTGAGTGTGCAACAGCAGGCGATGTGGATGGCATGGTGTCTGGCGCCGTGCACACCACCATCGCCACCATCCGCCCGGCTGTACAGATGATACCCGTGAGTAGAGATGGTGATGATCCCTGTGACTGCTGCTCTGAGTGTGCAACAGCAGGCGATGTGGATGGCATGGTGTCTGGCGCCGTGCACACCACCATCGCCACCATCCGCCCGGCTGTACAGATGATACCCGTGAGTAGAGATGGTGATGATCCCTGTGACTGCTGCTCTGAGTGTGCAACAGCAGGCGATGTGGATGGCATGGTGTCTGGCGCCGTGCACACCACCATCGCCACCATCCGCCCGGCTGTACAGATGATACCCGTGAGTAGAGATGGTGATGATCCCTGTGACTGCTGCTCTGAGTGTGCAACAGCAGGCGATGTGGATGGCATGGTGTCTGGCGCCGTGCACACCACCATCGCCACCATCCGCCCGGCTGTACAGATGATACCCGTGAGTAGAGATGGTGATGATCCCTGTGACTGCTGCTCTGAGTGTGCAACAGCAGGCGATGTGGATGGCATGGTGTCTGGCGCCGTGCACACCACCATCGCCACCATCCGCCCGGCTGTACAGATGATACCCGTGAGTAGAGATGGTGATGATCCCTGTGACTGCTGCTCTGAGTGTGCAACAGCAGGCGATGTGGATGGCATGGTGTCTGGCGCCGTGCACACCACCATCGCCACCATCCGCCCGGCTGTACAGATGATACCCGTGAGTAGAGATGGTGATGGTCCCTGTGACTGCTGCTCTGAGTGTGCAACAGCAGGCGATGTGGATGGCATGGTGTCTGGCGCCGTGCACACCACCATCGCCACCATCCGCCCGGCTGTACAGATGATACCCGTGAGTAGAGATGGTGATGATCCCTGTGACTGCTGCTCTGAGTGTGCAACAGCAGGCGATGTGGATGGCATGGTGTCTGGCGCCGTGCACACCACCATCGCCACCATCCGCCCGGCTGTACAGATGATACCCGTGAGTAGAGATGGTGATGGTCCCTGTGACTGCTGCTCTGAGTGTGCAACAGCAGGCGATGTGGATGGCATGGTGTCTGGCGCCGTGCACACCACCATCGCCACCATCCGCCCGGCTGTACAGATGATACCCGTGAGTAGAGATGGTGATGATCCCTGTGACTGCTGCTCTGAGTGTGCAACAGCAGGCGATGTGGATGGCATGGTGTCTGGCGCCGTGCACACCACCATCGCCACCATCCGCCCGGCTGTACAGATGATACCCGTGAGTAGAGATGGTGATGATCCCTGTGACTGCTGCTCTGAGTGTGCAACAGCAGGCGATGTGGATGGCATGGTGTCTGGCGCCGTGCACACCACCATCGCCACCATCCGCCCGGCTGTACAGATGATACCCGTGAGTAGAGATGGTGATGGTCCCTGTGACTGCTGCTCTGAGTGTGCAACAGCAGGCGATGTGGATGGCATGGTGTCTGGCGCCGTGCACACCACCATCGCCACCATCCGCCCGGCTGTACAGATGATACCCGTGAGTAGAGATGGTGATGATCCCTGTGACTGCTGCTCTGAGTGTGCAACAGCAGGCGATGTGGATGGCATGGTGTCTGGCGCCGTGCACACCACCATCGCCACCATCCGCCCGGCTGTACAGATGATACCCGTGAGTAGAGATGGTGATGGTCCCTGTGACTGCTGCTCTGAGTGTGCAACAGCAGGCGATGTGGATGGCATGGTGTCTGGCGCCGTGCACACCACCATCGCCACCATCCGCCCGGCTGTACAGATGATACCCGTGAGTAGAGATGGTGATGATCCCTGTGACTGCTGCTCTGAGTGTGCAACAGCAGGCGATGTGGATGGCATGGTGTCAGGCTGCAGTGCATGCATACTTCCCTTTCTCCTTGCCTCTCCTCCTTTCTCCTCGCTTCTCATTTCGCCTCCCATGTCGTGCCATGGCGTGCCATGTCCTCACAGTCCTGCGCTATCCTGCCATGGTAAGCCCTGCACGGCATGTGCTCCAATCCAACCAGACCAACCCCTTTTCCTGCCTTGTGTGACGTGGCATGTGCTCTCCAGAAATTGCCCAGCACAGAAATCATCTCTAGCGTTTCCTTCTATGTGCCTGCCCAGCCCCATCTGCGTTTGCGTGTGGTGCATTGCCCCCTCTTCCTCTTCTATTCCCTCGTGCCCTCCCTCCTCCTCCCAATCCCCTTTTCCAGAAACTGCCCAACACTGCGATCATCTCGAGCGTCTTCTTCATGTGCCTGCCCGACCATGTGTACATCTACGGTGACTGCGCCATCAACTCCAATCCGACGGCTGAGGAGCTCGCGATGATCGCCATCTCATCCGCCGATACCGCTGCTGCCTTCGGCGTGGAGCCGCGTGTTGCGATGCTCTCATATTCCACTCTGGACGAGCGCAAGGAAGGTGAGGGTTGAATTTGGAGAGAGTGGAAGAAAAACAGTTCTTAATGCCTCGTAGGGCGCCTCACTGCCTGCCTTCGGCGTGGAGCCGCGCGTTGCCATGCTCTCGTACTCCACTCTGGACGAACGCAAAGAAGGTGGGATTGGGATGGAAGCACGATGGTTCTGTCTGGGCGCTGTGAATGCGTTTGAGAAACTGCCTTGCGCATGGAACCACGTGCTGCGATTCTGTCTCACTCCACTCTGGATGAGCGCAGGGAAGGTGGGATAGGAAATGAAGTGGTTCTGGGTTTTGCTACGGCCTTTGAGAATGTGCCTTTGGCGTGAATCAGCGTGTCGCCATGCTGACATGTTCCACTCTGCGCGAGCATGCGGAAGGTGAGGACGGGACAACCCTGCTGCTGTCTTCGCTCTTTGGCATGTGGAATGGACACCCCCTAGGACCCTCCTTCTCTCGTCCTGCCAACATCCAGCCAGATACCATAGTGCAGAAGGTGGAGCGGTGCGGGCAACGCAGCTGGTGAAGCAGCAGCGGCCAGACCTGCTGGTGGAGGGGGTGCTGAATATAACACCCTCTTGTCTTTTGAGTTGACTCAAAAGTCAGCTCTGGAGGAGGGGGTGCTGAATATAACACCCTCTCGCTGCCCCTTGTCCGTGATGTTGATATTCTCCCCTTACCCCTCTCTCCCCCCATGCAGACACCATAGTGCAGAAGGTGGTGCGGGCAACGCAGCTGGTGAAGCAGCAGCGGCCGGACCTGCTGGTGGAGGGACCCCTGCAGTACGACGCTGCTGTCAACCCCATGGCCGCCCACAACAAGATGGACGGCAGAGAGTCCGACGTGGCCGGCAAGGTTTGTCCTGCTGACCAGTGGTTTACTTTTTCTATTACATGTGATCCCTGTGTGTGTGCTACATGTTCTGAGAAGTTCCGCTGAATCATCAACAGCTTATGGTATCAGAGGCTTATTTAAGAAGACTTATTCCTCCCTCCTTCCTCCTCCCTCCTTGCTCCTCATGCAGGCCTCAGTCCTCATATTCCCAGACCTCAACACAGGCAACAACACCTACAAGGCCGTGCAACAGGTAACCCCCTTCCCTCCTCGCCCCCTCCCCACCTCTCTCCATCGGCCACTCGCAACTTTTTTTGGGTATCATCTGCTGTGTTCTTTGGCCTTTTCTATCATCTGCCCATCTCTTCCCCCCACAGGCCACAAGAGCCATCACCATGGGATCGGTGCTGCAGGGGTCGAGTCGGCCGGTGAATGATTTGAGTCGTCGGTGCAGTTTTGAAACGTCTCAAAACTCTGTTCTAACCCGTGCGCCCCTTTCTCACGCTCGTCTCTCCCACCCACACAGGCCACAGGAGCCATCGCGATGGGACCGGTGCTGCAGGGGTTGAGTCGGCCGGTGAATGATTTGAGCCGTGGGTGCACCACCAAGGACATTGTTAACACCATTGCCATCACCAGCGTGCAAGCTGCTGCTGGCAAGGCGGCGCGCGCAGCACAAGAGGCCGCCGCTTAAACAGTTGTAGAAATTAAATGAGTAATTCGAACATTATTCTGGATGAGGAACTAGGAAATGCTGTATGTAAGGTCATGAACGTACCAATTCATTCATGAAGTGTAGCTCTTTAGTGCCACGAGTCGTCTCGTCACTATATTCTTGCTTCTCGTAACGTGGTTTTTATTCCCTATAAGTCACGCCCCCATTACGTTTCTGATCAAGCCGTGCTGTGCTCCTGCACACTAGTCTCTCCTGCTTGATGCGTCCAGTTTCTTCCGACAATTGCATAACCGCGACTCGCGTTCACGTAGTTGAACTTTGAGTCGCTTCAAAATCCAGCAATCGCCCTGTTCTGCCTCGCGGACTTAATCAAACTTCCCGCAGCTGCTGCTGCTGCTGCTGCTGCTCATTCGTCCGTACGTGCGACGATCGTAGTAATTGTCCGCTTTTACTTAGTCAGTCAGCTGTTTTTTCGACGCCTCGAGAGCTCCGCGGTTACTACTCAGCGCGCCGCGATGTACGGAATGGGAGGGCCGATGCACTACCAGCAGCACCACCCCTCACCCTTCACACACGGCCACATCCCCCACCGCTACCCCACTCCGCCGCACCCCGGCGCAACCGGATTCGCGCAATACCCCGGCGGACCCCCCGCGCAGCCTCCGCTTCCGCACCCGCAGCAGCAGGCGCAACAGCAGCAGGCGCAAGCGCAACTACAGCAGCAGCAGCAGCTGCAGCAACAGCAGTCGCAAGGACAGGCGCAGGGGCAGGGCCAGGCGCAAGGGCAGTCACAGCAGCCGCCGGCACCCGCGCCGCTGCCGTCGCAACTAAGAGCGGGAAAGGACCCTTTTAGGAACCTGTACAGCCGAGAGTTTGTTGGGCACAAGAAGAAGGTACGAGACACGTGGACCAATGAGGGAGTAGAAAGCAGGTGGGAGGCATGCGGGAGCGTTGGAGGCGCGTGGGAGGCACGGGGGAGAGGGGGGGAGTAGGAGTGTGTTGGGGGCATGAGGTCTTGTGGAGGTATGGAGATGACAGAATGAGGTCATACAGAACTGAAGGTAGGGGAAGGGAAAGGATGCTAGGTCAAGGTAACACGGATTCCGTTCCAAAGAACGTTGAATGCATCATTTTCTGTGTTTCATTATGATGTTTTTCTCTTTCTCTGACCCAGGTGCATTCGGTGGTGTGGAACTGCCTCGGCGAGAAGCTCGGGTCAGGTTCGGTGGACCAAACCATTCGCGTGTGGCAAGTGGATCCGAGCGGCGTATCAAACTCCGTGAGTCAGCCCGGCAACGCCCCATTCCATTTGTTAAGGTTCATGCCAGTCAGTCCAACACCCCATCCCAGTCCAACACCCCATCCCAGTCCAACACCCCATCCCAGTTCAACACCCAATCCCAGTGTAACGTTTCCGATCCGACCGACTCTGAGCCTCCATCCGCCTCATTCCTCCCATCGTTGTCGTGTCATGCCGTTCACGTGCTGCCCGTGGTGCTGCAGAGCAAGCAGCGGGAGGTGGAGTTGAGGGGTCACAGCGAGAGTGCTGACAACTTGTGCTGGGAAAGAGGCCCCTTTCACCACTCTGACATATCATGTCATGTCATTCATGTGATGTCATGTCATGGAATTTCATGTCATACTATGTGCCATGCTGCAGAGCAAGCAGCGGGAGGTGGAGTTGAGGGGTCACAGCGAGAGTGTTGACAACCTGTGCTGGGACCTGCTCCATCCCGGCCTGTGCTGGGACCTGCTCCATCCCGGCCTGTGCTGGGACCCGCTCCATCCCGGCCTGTGTTGGGACCAGGGCCCCTTTCACCACCCTGACGGGTCACTTCTGTGCCCATCTGACTGACTCCGCTCCTCCATTCGACCTCTCATCCACCCACTGTACTGTGCAGAGCAAGCATCGGGAGGTGGAGTTGAGGGGCCACAGCGAGAGTGTGGACAACCTGTGCTGGGACCCCCTCCACCCTGACCTCCTTGCGTCTGCTTCTCAAGACAAGTCCGTGCGCATCTGGGACACACGATGTGAGTGCAGGGGGTGTGGGATGGGATAAGCGTGCAGGGTGCATGGTATGGGACGCATGTTGAGGCGCCTCAGAGTCTCCTCCCCCACCCACCCGGACGGACCTCCTTGCGTCCGCGTCTCAAGACAAGTCCGTGCGCATCTGGGACACACGATGTGAGTGCAGGGGGTGTGGGATGGGATGTGAGTGCAGGGGGTACGCTTTGGGATGCGTGCGGGCGCAGTGTGATGGGAGTGAAGGGCGCATGGTATGGGCGGAGTTTGAGGCGCTTCAAAAGTTCCTCAAGACCATCTGGACCTGCTTCTTTCCAGACGTGTTATATGAAGATCACTTTGAAGGATTCTCAAAAGTCCCCTCCATCTGGATCTACTCGTGTCCAGACTGTCTCAAGACAAGTCTGTTCGCATCGGTGACAAGCGAGATGGGAGTGAAGGTTACACGCAGCAATCTGATGATGTTTTGCAAATCTTCAAAACATCTTAAGATGTTGTGCAGATCTTCGGTTATCCTTATTCGTGCACGTACATGTTCATGCAATGCACACATGCACACACGCAAACATTTCATGCGTGTTCTTATTTGTTCATTTTGCACAAGTGCTGCTGTCTTCTGTCTGTTATGTGTTTCTCTCGTTGCCACGTCAGCTGCTAGGTGTCAGCAGAGTGTGACTCTAAAGGGCGAGAACATCAACGTCACGTACAAGCCCGATGGCACGCACATCGCTGTGGGCAACAGCGTGAGTCTGCTGTACTGTAATGTGAAAGTGCTGAACTGTAACGTGTGTTCTAACGTGCTGTGCTGTGGGTGGTATTGTAACGTCAACCTTCCGTACTACGCCAGTGAGCTGTATTGTGACGTGAGTGAATGGGCTGCGCTGTGTTTGAACAAGTGTTTTGAGACGTCTCAACACACTTCTTCAAACACGTGGCTAATCTTCTGTACTATGCCAGTGAGCTGTATTGTGATGTGAATGGGCTGCGCTGTGCGTGAGGTCACTAATGGCTTGACACTACAGCCAAGCTACTGACATTCTAGTTGCTTCGATGTCAGTCAGTCGTGTCAAAGCCTGGCGTTTCATGGATAGACCACTCACCTCACCTACTTCGTTGATATCCTTCTCTGATGCATGGTGTGTGATTCATGATCCATGATACGTGCTGTGTGCTGTGTGCTGCATGCATGCATGCATGCAGGCGGACGAGTTGACCATTCTGGATGTGAGAAAGCTCAAGCCGATCCACAAGCGCAAGTTCACCTACGAGGTCAGTCAGTGCAAGGCGCTGTCAGTGATGTGGCATGCGGCGTCCAGCATGCAGCACCACAGCATGCAGCACCACAGCATGCAGCACCACAGCATGGTCAGTGTGTATGTGAACTTGCGCAAGCCTCGAGCCACATGCATTCTGGACGTGAGGGAGCTGAAGCCCATCCACAAGCGCAAGTTCACCTACGAGGTAGGTCAGTGCGAGGTGTCTACTTTTGAGGCGCCTCAATTCTGGACGTGAGGGAGCTGAAGCCCATCCACAAGCCCAGCCTCAGTTCACCTACGAGGTCCGCCATTCTCAACCATTGCCCCGTCTCTGCCTCACCCGCGTCTCTGCCTCACCCGCGTCTCTGCCTCACCCGCGTCTCTGCCTCACCCGCGTCTCTGCCTCACCCGCGTCCCTGCCTGACCCAAGTCCCTGCCTCACCCGCGTCTCTGCCTGATCCCCGCTTGTTGCAGTTGAGTTCGTTTTACGGTTCTTACATTCACACCAATACCTCCGTCTATTCCCCCTGTCTCCTGTATCCTCTTCTTACCTCTCCGCTTCCGCCCACCGTCCAGTTCAGTCTCGCTTCTCACCTGTCTGCATGCTGTTTCCCTGCCTCTCACTGTCTCTCTCCCACCCACCTGTACCCTGGGCAGCTGAACGAGTTCGCGTGGGACCGAACAGGGTCCATCTTCCTTGTCACAACCGGCACAGGTGAGCTCCGGTGCACAGGTGTGGAGTGCGGTGCAAAACGGTGTGGCTGTGGTGCGCTGATGAGCCGTGGGACTGAGCAACTGTCCGTTCGGTGGCATCAACCCGGCCCCTGGCGTTGACTCGCTCACCTTCCTTTAGTTTTGAGGCGCCTCAAAACTAACATTGACTCACTCACCTTCCTTTTGCACATCGACTTCCCATCACACCTCAACTCAACCACACCCCATTCTCCACCACACCTCAACTTCTCTCCACACCTCAATTTGCAGGTGCAGTGGAAGTTTTGGGTTACCCCTCCCTGCAGACACTAGACACCCTGCACGCACACACAGCAGGGGTGTATTCGCTGGCCATTGACCCCCTTGGCAGGTGCGTGTGTTTGAGGCATTGCATAAGGGAGGTGGTAGAGTGGCCGGTGGGAGGGAGTGTGTGATGAGGGGAATGTGTGTGGAAGTGCGAGTGGGAGTGCGATTTGTCAGTCGATCAGAAAATGAAGTGGTAGAGTGAGGGTGTGTATGGGAGGGCGTGAGGAGGATGTAAGCATGTAGTTGCATTGCACATGTTATCCTCTCTTCTGCGATATAGTTTCCCGTCTGCTTATCTAAAAATGCTTTTCGGTATGTTTTCCACTTGCTCCATTGAAGTTCTTTTCTTCTTCCTTATTCCCTTCTGCTTCTTCTCATCCCTTCCCCACACACTTCACTTTCTCCGTCTCCTTTCTTTCCTGTTCTCTTTCTTTCCCGTTCTCTTTCTTTCCCGTTTTCTCCTTTCACATCACCATCAGCTTGCAGGTACTTTGCAGCAGGCAGTGCAGACTGCTGGTGAGCCGAGCCGATGGGACCATCGGCACCACCACAAGTCCTCATATCTCCTCCCCTGTCTCCTTCTCCACGCCACGCCATCTCCCCCCACCATCACCATCACCCACAGGTACTTTGCAGCGGGCAGTGCAGACGCACTGGTGAGCCTGTGGGACATGCAGCACATGCTGTGTGTGCGCACCTTCACACGATTAGAGTGAGTTGAAGAGTATGCATGTCCTGAGTGACTATCAAGTGTCTCGCCCTGTGGGACATGCGGCACATGCTGTGTGAGCGCACCTTCACACGCCTCGAGAGAGTTGATAAGTGCATGCACGAGTACGTACCAAGTGCCCTGTTGTGTGCAACATACAGCACACATTGTGTGTCTGCACCCTCACACCATTGAGTGAGCAGCACCTGTCAGGCTGCATGCTTTGTTCATATCTGCCTGCCCCCTGTGCCCCCTACCATGGCTGGCTAGTGCCCACAATGCTCCAATGCAGCTCCGCCTCTCCTTGTTGTCAACTCCAGTGGCTCATTAATTCGTCCCTTTTTGAAAAGTCGTCCCTCCTTCATCCCTTTGAGTCGACTCAAAAGTCAGCTTTGTCCGTTCCCCCTTTCCGTTTTTAAGGCGTCTCAAAAATGGTCCCTTCCTACCCTCCATTCTCGTAGTTTGTTATAAGGCTTTGTTATAAGGCTTTGTTATAAGGCTTTGTTATAAGGCTTTGTTATAAGGCTTTGTTATAAGGCTTTGTTATAAGGCTTTGTTATAAGGCTTTGTTATAAGGCTTTGTTATAAGGCTTTGTTATAAGGCTTTGTTATAAGGCTTTGTTATAAGGCTTTGTTATAAGGCTTTGTTATAAGGCTTTGTTATAAGGCTTTGTTATAAGGCTTTGTTACAAGGCTTTGTTACAAGGCTTTGTTATAAGGCTTTGTTATAAGGCTTTGTTATAAGGCTTTGTTATAAGGCTTTGTTATAAGGCTTTGTTATAAGGCTTTGTTATAAGGCTTTGTTATAAGGCTTTGTTATAAGGCGTAGTTGGAGGCTTTGCTGTCAACTCGAGTGGCTCATGCGTCCCATCCCATCCAACCTCCAATCCCCTTATTTCCCCCTTCGGTCAATGCATCTCCCTTCCCTTCACTTCTCAACCACTCGTCCTCAGATGGCCCGTACGCACTGTCAGCTTCAGCCACGATGGGCGGTATCTCGCGTCTGCTAGTGAAGACCTCTTTGTTGACATTGTAAGGCGTGCCGTGTTGTGAGCCGTGCAGCACTGTGAGCCGTGCAGCACTGTGAGCCGTGCAGCATGCATGTATAGTGCTGTATCTTGCGAGCTCACTCATTGTGCCTGTGTATCATGCATGCACACCGTGCATAGAACACACCGTGCATAGAACACACCATGCATAGAACACACCATGCATAGAACACACCGTGCATAGAACACACCATGCATAGAACACACCGTGCATAGAACACACCGTGCATAGAACACACCGTGCATAGAACACACCGTGCATAGAACACACCGTGCATAGAACACACCGTGCATAGAACACACCGTGCATAGAACACACCGTGCATAGAACACACCGTGCATAGAACACACCGTGCATAGAACACACCGTGCATAGAACACACCGTGCATAGAACACACCGTGCATAGAACACACCGTGCATAGAACACACCGTGCATAGAACACACCGTGCATAGAACACACCGTGCATAGAACACACCGTGCATAGAACACACCGTGCATAGAACACACCGTGCATAGAACACACCATGCATAGAACACACCGTGCATAGAACACACCGTGCATAGAACACACCGTGCATAGAACACACTGGCATAGAACACACCGTGCATAGAACACACCATGCATAGAACACACCGTGCATAGAACACACCGTGCATAGAACACACCGTGCATAGAACACACCATGCATAGAACACACCGTGCATAGAACACACCGTGCATAGAACACACCGTGAATAGAACACACCGTGAATAGAACACACCATGCATAGAACACACCATGCATAGAACACACCATGCATAGAACACACCGTGCATAGAACACACCGTGCATAGAACACACCGTGCATAGAACACACCGTGCATAGAACACACCGTGCATAGAACACACCGTGCATGCAGCTGCCACGCCGTTGCCTCCCTCCATCCCTGTCTCCTGTCTTCCCTCCTTCACCACCCTCTCCCGCCTCCCAAACTGTTCTAAACTCAGCGCAAAATTCCCCCATCCTTCTTCCCTATCTCATGCAAGCCACCCCAGATCTCAGCACAAGATTCATCTCAGCGATGTGAGCCCCCAGACCTCACACATCCCCTCCATCCCTCTCTTTCCCCCGCATTCCCCACGTCCTATGCTCTGCCGCCCAACCCTCTCCTCCGGATCCCCTTCCAACAACAGGCGGAGGTGGAGACGGGGCGGTCGGTGCATCAGATCCCATCCTGGGCGGCGATGAACAGTGTGGAGTGGAATCCCAAGCACCTGCTCCTCGCATATGCCTCTGACGACGATGGCAAGCACTCATCCCCGGGTGAGTGAGCCTGCTGCTAGTACTTTGTTGCCCCAAGAGCACTTCTGTTTTATGCCTCAGGGGTGCTGCTTGGACTGGAATGACCTGAGTGGAACCCCAAGCACCTGCTCCTCGCATATGCATGTGACGACGATGGCAAGCACTCATCCCCAGGTGAGTGAGCCTCTTGGTTGATATTGAGTCGACTCAAAAGTCACCTCTTTGAGTCGACTCAAAAGTCACCTCTTTGAGTCGACTCAAAAGTCACCTGGTTGCTATGAAAGCATTGCCTTTTTGTGCCTTAGGGGGCCTGGCTCTGACTGAAATGACTCGAGTGGAACCCCAAGCACCCGCAGCTGGCGTATGCCTCTGACTTTGGCGTATGCCTCTGACTATGGCGTATGCCTCTGACTATGGCGTATGCCTCTGACTATGGCGTATGCCTCTGACTATGGCGTATGCCTCTGACTATTGCGTATGCCTCTGACTATGGCGTATGCCTCTGACTATGGCGTATGCCTCTGACTATTGCGTATGCCTCTGACTATGGCGTATGCCTCTGACTATGGCGTATGCCTCTGACTATGGCGTATGCCTCTGACTATGGCGTATGCCTCTGACTATGGCGTATGCCTCTGACTATGGCGTATGCCTCTGACTATGGCGTATGCCTCTGACTATGGCGTATGCCTCTGACTATGGCGTATGCCTCTGACTATGGCGTATGCCTCTGACTATGGCGTATGCCTCTGACGACGATGGCAAACACCCTTACTGGGGCGAGTGAGCCTGCTTATTGGCTGTTGCCATGAAAAAGCAAAGTGCTTATTTGCCCCTCTCGGTGAGGTGCCTTGAGGACGCGTCACAGGGGGCGATTGATCGTCCAATATCGATCCGCCACCGCAGTGTAATCACGCTAATTGCAATCGCAGCTTTCAGAGCCTTTTCTAACCCCACAAAGACGACCCTTCGGATGATCGATCGCCCCCTGTGACGCATTTTGAGGTGGAACCGTAGGGAGCGGCTGCATTGCCTGTTGCTCACATATGCTTTTCGAGCAGCATTTGTTCTCTTTTTGAGTCTGCTTCGCACTCATGTGGAGTGGAGTGCCTGTGGTGGCATGACATAGAGTGTGGAGTGCGGTGTGTAGTGGCATTCGCTGTGTGAAGTGGAAGGATTGTGGCTCCTATATCTTCAATAATACTGTACCGTACATACTTCCTGTTTGTGTCCTTGTCGCAGGTGTCTTCCGTGTCTTTGGGTTTGATTCGCCTTGAGTGCAATTAGTTCTTTTCATTATAGCATTTGTTTTTCAACAATAGTCGTGTATTCGCATCACAATCCAGCTAGGAACGGGTATATGGCCACACTGAGTCCATGTGATGTCGGATACAGTATGTGGGGATGTGTAAGGCTGCAACATTGCTGGCAAATTTCTTCCTAAGTTCCACTCAATGCTTGCCCAACGGTGCTGTATTTATGCACTTCTTGAGTGAATGTGTTCCAAAAAGGGCTGGACTAGGTAGCTTGTATGAGCATACGGGCCCAATGAGACATGGACCATGGTACTAAACAACATGCTATACAGCCAGGATTGAAGTTTCCACGTTAGGCTGATACCTTTAGGCTCATAGCATCTAGGTCAGTGCCAGTGTTTCATACTCAATTGCAGTTTATGGAATATTGAGTGTAAGATAATATATTTACAAGCACCAACTTATGATTTCTTCAAACGGACCCCCAACCCTGAGGTGCTGACTTGGCGCACGAGCCGTCCAACAAAAAAAAAACACATTTTCTGCGAGCATGTGACATTTGGTTGAGCACCAGTACCTCCTGGTGCACCCTAGGTGCCAGGGGAATGGTGTGGCAAGAGATAAGGGCGTGATACTGTAAATGGATCTACTACGGGAGGTATAAATCGTGTTTGCCCTGCCCGAAGTCTTCTCCTGTCACTTAGCGCTTCTTCGTTGGCACAATGTGGTTCAAGCCGAGTTTGATTTCCGAACTGCAATTGTGCTGCTGTATCATTATCTCGTGTCTGTTTGTTGGTGCTCCCTCGCCTAAGAGTTTTCCATCCATTTCCAATGCTGCTGCTAAGTTGTGACACTTAAAAACGTCACGAAACATGCTGATTCGGAAATATCAATGTTGCGCCACCCTCTCTGACTCAACTGCAGCATTGACCGTTCTACAGTTGCACAGCGACCCTTGAGTTCAACCGTCGACTTTCCGGATAACGGAAGGACGTTTTCGCTGGAAGCTGAGCAATCAATGCACGGCAACTGATCGCAAGCAGTCAATTTGGGCGTGCCCCAGAATCTAGGGTTGCCCACTTGTGCGCTGGCGCTCGGCTTGTGCGATCAGGTACACGTGGCAACCCCCTCCACCCCTCGCTTGCTTGATAGGAGCAGCCGATTTGCCCGCTGCCCAGCTTCCTCCCCCTCCTCCCCAACCCTGTCTGTCTGTTGCATCTCGGTCCTAATTTTTGAAACAGAACACGACACTGCTGCACCACCCTTCATTGTCATTCTTCGCTTCGCATCGCAGTCCCTATTGTGACCATCATTCCGTGTCCTCCCCGGGAACATCGAGCACGCTACAGTGCATCCCTGCAAGATGATCCAACTTCCCCCGTCTTTCTCTCCTACGCCATCCTCCCACATTTTTCAAGACTTGTCATGCGTTTCGGCTTGTTGTCTATCATCGTCATCGCAGTCGTCTGACGAGTAGTTGTGCGAGGAGGAGCCGTCGTAGGCGGCTAGGTCATGTATCATCTCTGCGCACCTAATTTACGATTTTATTTGCAGCATGGAAACGAGATAGCTGAAGCTAATAGACAGACCGCTTATTCCGCTGTCGGCTATCGCATTCGAACTGTGAGACTGACAGCTCGCGTCGAAAACCCTGTTAAGTCGTTATAGAACTTGCGTAAAATACATAATTATATCCACTTGAAGCTTGCGTCGAAAATCCTAGCTTTAGATATGATTTCCAGATTTCTATGATGGCGGAAATGAGTGTGTTCGCATCACCTTCCGCGGAATCTTCGCCCGACGTGTCCGAGCATCTCAGCGCAAGCAACTCCGTTCGCTCCACGCGTCCCCAGGAATACATGACGCGAAGGCAAGCTGCGGCTGCCGCCGGTAATGTTGACGACCGGAAGGGTTTCGCCGGCAGCAGCGAGGGCAGCAGCAGTTGTGCGGCTGTCGCAAGCCTGGGAGCTTCTGACGGTTACGATTTCGCTGCTGCTGACCCCGCGCGGCGAGATGGTGGCGAGAGTAACCATGAACCTCCCAGTTCGTGGCTGGACAGGAAGCTTTTAGAGAGAAACGACCGGGATGATTCCGAAGTGGACAATTTAGTGGGTTCTGACGGAGTTGGTCGTAAGAGGAAGAAAAGCTGGGTAGGCATTTCGCGTTTATGGCGGAAAACGGCAAGGCGACGCGGCGGGAAGGAGTCGCATGCTTACGACGAAGGTGATGGCGATAGTAGCGATGGGTCCAGCTCTAGCGACGATGGATGGGAAATCGGTGGACTAAGTTGTCGCAAAGGCGACCAGGGGACGAGGTACACCGAGAGAACGGCGCTACGGAAATGTGATGGACACTGGGAAGGAGACGAGGAATGGGAGGATGAAGAGGAGGACGACAAGGGGGGGGCGGAGGAGTTAAGTGGGAGCACGAGAGAGTCCTGGGTGTCTGCCGTCGAGTCGTTTCTCTCCTGGCCGCTGCGCGCTCTTACGCACGCATGGCGTCTGGTACGTTCAAATGCGTGTGTTTTGTTTGTTGTTTGCCTTTTCATTACTATTTTCCGCCTGGTCGCGCCAGCGGCGTTAACCACGCATGCACTGGGTGCTCTTCCTGTCTCACAGCGCCGCGTGTGCTGGGTCTTGGCCGTCAGGGCGCCGGACGCGCGCGTTCGACGAATGCACGCATGCGACGGATGCACGCATGCGACGAATGCACGCATGGGACGGATGCACGCATGCGACGGATGCACGCATGCGACGGATGCACGCATGCGACGAATGCACGCATGCGACGAATGCACGCATGCGACGGATGCACGCATGCGACGGATGCACGCATGCGACGAATGCACGCATGCGACGAATGCACGCATGCAACGAATGCACGCATGCGACGAATGCACGCATGCGACGATTGCACGCATTCAACGAATGCGCGCGCGCGACGAATGATCTTTGTGGAACGAGTGCTGCGTGTTTCACGGCGTCTCATCTCCTCTCCTCCGTCTCTCCTTGCTTCTGTCGAATTTCGCCGCTGACTAGCGCGGGTCCGCTGCTGGCGACTTTTGCTGATGCGCGCATCGCTTCTCTTCCCCCTTACCACCCCATCCCCGCCACTTCCACTTCCCCATCCCCCAGCGCATGTGTTGAATCTGGGCAGTGATCAGTCTCGACGGGCTAGCAGTCGTCTTCGCGCGCGTGCGGGCGCGCGCAGTGGCAGAGAAACACTCAGTGTCCCTCTTCCCCCTCCCCCTGTTCCCGCTCCCTCCCCGCCGTCATCCCAGCGCGTGTGTTGGATCTGGGCGGTGATGAGCGTGGGCTTGCTGGCGATGATCTTCACGATCGTGTGGACGCAAGCGTCGAGCGAGCAGCAGGCGGAGCGCGAGGGGCAGTGCGGCGAGTTGGCGGCGTTCATCGAGTCGCACTTCAACTCCACGCAGGCCAACACGCGCGCGCTCGCCGAGTTCGTCCACGCCTACTACATCGACGGGTACGTTTACCATACGAGTGGGTGGGTATGCCCTCTACGTCATAAGGTGTCGCACGTTTACCATGTCAGAAGATACGCCCACAATCTCCCTGTCACTCCCTTGTCCCCCCCTCTCCCCCAATATCCCCCCCCCCCCCCCCGTATCCACCCCCCCACACTCCCCATACACACCTTCCCCCCATCAGGCGCGAGAGCTTCTTCCGCTTATCCAAGTTCCTCAAGTTCAGCTCCTCCTCCTCCTCTGCATCCCACTCTCACTTCATCCCTCATCCCCTCTCCCTGATTCCCCTCTTTCTGCCTATTTCCCCCACCCTCCCCCACTCACCTTCCCCCCATCAGGCGCGAGAGCTTCTTCCGCCCGTCCAAGTTCCTCAAGTTCAGCTCCTCCGCACTGCACGCCCGCCCCGTGGCAGCATGTGAGTTGCCTCCCTCGTCCCCCCATTCACTCATCCACCCATCCGCTCATCCGCCCACCCCAACCACCCCAACCACCCATCCTCCCACCACTCGCTCTTTCTACTGCTGCCTCGTGCCTTCCCTCATTTCCTCTCCTGCCCTTCCTTCCCCATTCTGCTTCCTTCCGCTTTCCTCTCCATCCCCTCCCTACCCCGTCAACCCCTGTCCTCCAAACTTCCCCAACCCCCCCTGCAGTTGTGGGCTATGCTCCTCGAGTCAACACAACAGCACGGCTCTCCGCCATCACGTAGCAAAGAGCAGCGCCTGCAGGGCTGCCTCATCGCAGTGAGCGCGGAGTTCTCCTGCCGCCTGCCCGGCCTGCCTCATCACACTCACTGCACCCATCCCTCCCCCTCCCTGTCCTTTCGAGTGAACAGCACGGCCCTGCGCAGCCACGTGGAGCGGCAACTGCAGGGCTGCCTCATTGCACTCATCGCACCCATCGCACCCACCCCTTCCCCCCCTCTCCAGTTGTGGGTTATGCTCTCCGAGTCAACAGCTCAGCCCTGCGCAGCCACGTGGAGCAGCGACTGCAGGGCTGCCTCATCGCAGTGAGCGCGGAGTTCTCCTGCCGCCCGCCTGGCCTGCCGCTGTACGTGCCGCTGCTGCTGGGCACCAGCAGCAACGAGGGGAGCAGCGTGCGCCGCCTTCCCCGCAACCGCACCGCTGCCGGCGCTGACCTGCTCTCCGGTGAGCCCTAGCTTGCGATTCGACTCAAAAGATCTCTTCTCAAAACCACCTCCCCCCACACCGCACTGCTGCCGGCGCTGACCTGCTCTCCGGTGAGCCCTAGCTTGCGGTGCTGACTCCTACTCACTTCCCCGATCCCATGACTCCTACTCACTTCCCACCCCTCCCCCATTCCACCCTTCCCTTCCATCAGACCCCACGCTAGCAGCCATGATCCGGGCGGCAGACACGGGGCGCAGCGGCGCCATGTCCGCCCCCATGGCATCCCCAGCATCGCCCTTCCACATGGTGGCGCAGGCCTTCCCCGTGTACGACGCTCATGACCACGGCCACGTGTTCGTTCACGTGCCTGGTGCTGCCTCCACCACTGCTAATAGCACTGGTAGCAGCAGGAGCGGTGGCAGGAGCGGCAACAATGGCAGCAGCGGCAGTGGCAGCAGCAGCGGCAGTGGCACGGAGGGTAGTGGTAGCACCAGCAATGGCAGCAGCGGTTCCATCCCAACCAACTCCCCAGACGCACATGCACCCACTGGATCCCCCCCTCACCCCCACACCGGAATCGACCCATCTGCACCGCAGAGCTTTGAGCCCGACTCGCTCGACGCACTCACCAAACCGCACGGCTTTTTCATCGCAGCTTACTCCTTCCACACACTCCGCCTCGCCCCCAACTTCGACCAGCTTAAAGCCCTCCCTCTTCGCACATACCTCATAGACGTGACCAATGAGAGCAGCCCAGCTGTGCTGTTTGGGCCGGAAGGGACGGAGGGGATGACGGGGAAGCAGGCAGGAGTGTGGGCGGCGGTGGCGCATAAGAGACGAGTGGTGCAGTACCAAGGGCGCGTTCAGTACCCCATGTGGTTCGGCGACCCGTCACGGAACTTTGTGCTTGTTTGCGAGTGAGTGGGCTGCCTGGGGCTCAGCGTTGCTTCTTTCTGTCTGTTTGCCTTTGTCTGATCCGCTCTGTCTCGCTCTGTCGAGCCCGTCTTTTTTGTTTCGTTCTGTCTGCAGGTTGGTTGTCCAGCTCTTAGAAATCCTAAGAATCTGTCTCTCAAGTGCCCCCGTGAAGCGCCCCTTGCGTGCTTCTCATTCTACCTCTTCATAGCCTCGAATTTGCCTCCTGAGTGCATCGTAACTGACTCTTTATATCAACAAACCCCCTTCCTTCCCCCTCGCAGGCCGGAAGCCAACGCGAAGCCGAGCCCGCCGTTCGTGTGGATGGTAGTTTCATTCATCATCCTGGCGATCTCAGTGCTCGTGCTCTGGATGTCCGTGCACCTCATGGCCAAGCTTGAAACCGACACGCTGCGAGTGGAATCAGCACAAGCGCAGCTCGCGACGGCCAAGGTGGCGGCAGAGGCGGCGAGTCGAGCTAAGAGCGACTTCCTCACCACCATGAGCCATGAGATTCGTACTCCCATGAATGGCGTGATAGGTACGCTTTCAGTTACCATATACTAGCAGCCCCCACCATGCTTGGACCCTGCATTCCTGCCTGCACTGCACATCACCACCACCCACCCGGCCGGCACACGTTAACCTTGCCATGCTGAATCTGCTTGCGCCCTTCATCTCACATCACGGCCGCCTTCACCCTACCTCAACCTTCCCCTCCCCTTCAGCCCACCTGCTGCACTTCTGGTCCCGCCACACCTGCTCCTCTTGAGTCGGACACACTCCTCCTTCCAACCCTCCCTCCCCTTTGTCAATCCCCCCCACCAGGCATGCTGAACCTGCTGATGGAGACCCCTCTGGACGGCACGCAGCAGGACTACGCGGAGACGGCGTGCAGCAGCGGGCGGGCGCTGTGTGCGCTGATCAACGACATTCTCGACCTCTCCAAGATCGAGGCCGAGAAGCTCCGCCTCGAGCGCATCCCCTTGAATCTGAGAGCCGAGCTCGACGACGTGCTTGCACTGTTTGTGGAGAGCGCGGAGGAGAAGCGATCGGTGGAGCTGGCAGCCTTCGTGGCTGATGATGTGCCGGAGACTCTCGTCGGGGATCCGCTGCGCATACGGCAGGTGAGTAAATAAAACTCAGCAATTGTTTGTTTGTTTGTTTATTTGTTTTAGTTTTTTTTCCGGTGGAGATTTTCTTTATTGCCGTTAAACTCACGTTGTTTCCATGCATCCCACTTTTACACTAGACCCATTAGAACATTGCTACCTTTAAAACCTGAAGTTCAACTGAAAATATCGCCAGTGCCCCTGTACCCCGCCCACACTGCCCACCGGCGCCCCCCTCTTCCATTGACCCTCGTGCCCCACCGCGCTCCCCACCACCCATTTTTTGTGAGCGAAAATTTAGCAAACAATCTCCCTCTTTTCTCCCCACGACCCCTCGGCCCTTTCAATCCACCACAGATCCTGATGAACCTGATAGGCAACGCGCTCAAGTTCACGAGCACGGGGCACATCTTCCTCGTCATCCGCCTCGCTCTGCCCGACGATACCGTCCACTCCCTCGCCTCCTCTGCCTCTTCCTCCCTCCATCACCGCCAGCACCAGCACCACTCGCAGCACCACCAGCAACACCACTCGCACCACCAGCAGCACCACCACCACTCGCACTCGCACCATGGTTACCATCGCCGCCGCAACAGCGATCCCGACCGCCACTGGAGGAGCATGCTCGAAGAGCTGTCTGTGTCCTTCCATCACCACTCCCACCACCACCACTCCCATCACCACCACTCCCATCATCACCACTCCCATCACCATTGCCGGCACGCTTCAAGAGAGGAAGGCAGAAGCGGAAAGGCAGCACCAAGAGCACCCGAAGAAGCAGTACCACCACCAGCAGCAGCAGCAGCACTGACGCTGAGCGGGCGGCCGGCAGTGCACACGTGGTGCTCATGGGAGGCTATGGGCGGCACTGTAGACCTCAGCACCGTTGGCACCGGCACGATCAGCACCAGCATTGGCACCTGGACCGGCACCGGCACCGGCACGGCCAATCACAGCTGTCAGCAGCATGGCATGGCGAATCACACCTGCTCCAGCAACGCTCAAACGCACCCAGCGTGTGCAGGGCAGGCGGTGCAGGGTGTTGCAGAGAGTTCTCAGGCGCACCCAGCGTGCGGAGGGCAGGCGGTGCGGCTGCTGGTGGCGGTGGAGGATACAGGAGAGGGCATCCCCATGGCGGCTCAGAGGGGCATGTTTCGCCCGTACTCCCAGGCGCACGCCAGCACCACCCGCCTGCATGGGGGGACGGGCATCGGCCTCTCCATCTGTAAGGTGCGTTGTGTATGGGTGAGGTACGGGTGAGGTATGGGTGAGGTACGGATAAGGTATGGGTGAGGTACAAGTGAGGTATGGGTGAGGTACGGATGAGGTACAGGAGAAGGCATCCCCATGGCGGCACAGAGGCATATGTTTCGCCCGTACTCCCAGGCGCACGCCAGCACCACTCGCCTGCATGGGGGGACGGGCATCGGCCTCTCCATCTGCAAGGTGCGTGTGGCACCACGCTTCCTAGATTTTCTGGTGGCCTTGACTCTAGATTTGCCTTGCCCTGTGTTTTGCCTGTCGCACCCTGAAATTTGCCTGAGACTCACATGTTCTTCTCTAGTCCCCCACGCTTCTACCCAATCCCCTGGCAGCCATCCCTCTGCTGTTCCCTGGCAGCCATCCCTCTGCTGTTCCCTGGCAGCCATCCCTCTGCTGTTCCCTGGCAGCCATCTCTCTGCTGTTCCCTGGCAGCCATCTCTCTGCTGTTCCCTGGCAGCCATCCCTCTGCTGTTCCCTGGCAGTCATCCCTCTGCTGTTCCCTGGCAGCCATCCCTCTGCTGTTCCCTGGCAGCCATCCCTCTGCTGTTCCCTGGCAGCCATCCCTCTGCTGTTCCCATCGCATCCCGCACGCAACGCCTGCACAGGCCAACACGCATCCCTCTCCCTCTGCTACGCCCATTACGCTAGCCCTGAAGGAACGAGCTTATGTCCACCTCTCTGTGTTGTCCGACCCTGTTCTTCCCTCTTTCCCCTCCCCCTTACAGCGTCTCGTGTGACTCATAGGAGGCAGCATCGCCTTCACCAGCGAGCCAGGCGTCAGCAGCACCTTCCCCTTGTACATCAACTCTCGCACCTCCTATCTTGCTTCATGTCTCTGGGCTTCCCTTCCTCTTCCCGTGTGGCATGCCTCATCTGTTCTGCAGCGTCTCGTGTCGCTCATGGGAGGCAGCATCGCCTTCACCAGCGAGCCAGGCGTCGGCACTACATTCTACTTTGATATCACGCTCCACACCCCTCCTACCGACACTCCCTCCACCCCTCCGCCCTGCTGCCCTCCTCCTTTCCCTCCTTCCTCCGCCCATTCCTGCCCAGCGCCCTGCCCTCCTCTTCCTCCTCCTCCTCCTCTCGCGCCCTCTATGCCTCTGCTGCCTCGCACCATCTCGCCTGCTGCTTCTGGGCCTTCCTTCACACCAGCTGCAGCTGCTGCTGCTTGCTCTGCTGCTGCTGCTGGTGCTGGTGGAACAGTGGCTGGGAGTGAGATGGGCGTGTGCGTGGTGAGTGGTGGGGGTGGTGGGAGGGCAGCAGAGGGATGGGAAGGCGTGCTTGTGGTGAGTGTGGACGACCGGGCGGTGCGGCATGCCGTCACTCTCTCTCTGCTGCACCGCCTTGGCATCTGCACCCTCCCCTGCCCCTCCTTCCACCTCCTCCCCCGCCTCCTCGCCCAACACCACTACGGCCTCCCACCAGCTGCTGCAGCTGCACCTGAATCTGATGTGGCATTGACTGCAGCACCAGCAGGAGCACCAGCAGCAGCCGCAGCAGCAGCAGGAGGAGGAGGAGGAGGAGGAGGAGGAGGAGGAGGAGGAGGAGGAGGAGGAGGAGGAGGAGGAGGAGGAGGAGGAGGAGGAGGAGGAGGAGGAGGAGGAGGAGGAGGAGGAGGAGGAGGAGGAGGAGGAGGAGGAGGAGTATCAGCGAGTGTAACAGCAGCAGGAGCAACGAAGAGAAAGAAAACGTTTTCTTTGGGAAGGGGAGACTCACCATCTTTCTCTCTCGTCCCGCCTCTCCCCAGGGCGGAGACGTCAGCAGACTCTATGTCCATCTCTCTCATCCCCCTCCTCCCCACGTCCACGAAGACCAGGAGCCAGCCTCTTGAGGCGCCTCAAAAGAAGACCAGGAGTCAGTCGCTCATCCCCCTCCTCCCTGACTCCAAGAAGACCAGGAGTCAGCCTCTCCTCCGCTTTGCACCGCACCACTGGCGCCATCGCTCCTCCACCGCTGCTCTCGACCCCCCAACTGCTCACCACCGCACAGCCACTCACCCTCCCAGTCTGATTCCTTCTCTTTTAGCCGCCCAACCTCCTGCTTCCTCCTCTCTACCCCCTGCTCCCACTGCCACATCTGCTCTGGCCCCTTCTCCTTCTGTCCCTCCTGCCCCTACTGCCCCTACTGCTTCTGCTGCTGCAATGCCTTCTGCTGCTGGCCCTTCACCTACTGCAGCCAGCAGCAGCAGCATGCCGCCCAGGCTGGCGTCTCTCCCACACTCCATCTCTGCTTCTGCCGCCTCTGCACCGCCCAGCGCCGCCACCACAGCCCTGCGTGCTGCTGCGCGTGCAAGCGGGGCCTGTGTGAGCCCATCAATCGCAGCCCCTGGAAGCAGCTCTTTCGGCGCCTCCCCCGCAAAAAAGGCATACGTGCCTCGCTCTCTCTCAGCCTCTCCTTGCTCCTCGACTGATGTAGGCCCAGCTGCTGATGCTGCTCTGACTGCTGTGCTCCGAGGGGCCTCTGGTTTGGAAGACTCTCCTACTGCTGGCCTTGTTCGGAATCCCATCTGCCGATTCTTTGCAGACCAGCAGCAGCAGCAGCAGCAGCAGCAGAAGCAGTCCCACCACCATCAACAACAGCAACAACAACACTGTCCCCACTCATCTTTACTCCCCTCCTACCCCTCACCCCCCCCTCTCCAGCCATCCTCCTCTCCCGACCTTTCTTCCAACCCCGCGCGCCGTTCCAAGCATCTACCACCCTCCTCCTCCTTAGCACGCACCTCCTCACTCTCAACAAAGAAAGAGCGTCTACACGCATCCACCTCCTCCTTTTCCCCCTCCTTGTCCCGCACGCCGACCCTCTCCCACAACGACCTCCCAAGCCTCAGAAAGGCGTTTCAGAAGCAAGCAGAGAGGGCCTATGCAGAGGGTGCGTGTAGCCCCACCCTCTCCCTCGACCCTCCCTTCAACCCTTCTCTCTCCCTAGATCCTCTTGAGTCGACTCAAAAGGCACTGTCCCTCGACCCCCCCTCTGGCCCTTTGATCTGTACCTTTGATCGACTTCCACAACCTCGTCTGGTCACCCAGTCCCTTCCGTCCTACCCTCCTAGGGTCCCGTCCCTCTCATCGCCCCACGCCCCGTCTGTCTCCCTCACTCCTGCTTCCAGCCCGCACATTTCTAGCCCCACTGGCACGGGTTCAGCGGCTTCGAAGCATGCGAGAGCATCGTCAGTTAGCGCGGTGGGGCCACCGCGCCTCTCACCCCTTGGTGAATGTGTCCCTGGCAGGATGGGATGCAGCCTGCATGGGGCCAGCAACTTTGGATGTGCGGCAAGGGATGGGGTGGTGGTGGAGGGGTGGCAGTCAACTCAGTCAACACAGTCGATGCGGTCAATACTTTCAATGCAGTCAAGGCAGTCAACACGGTCGAGTTTGATGCGCACCGCGAGTGGCAAGGTGGTGAGTGTGAGCATGGAAGGGCCGAGGATCGAGTCGAAAGCGTCGCTGCTGCTGCAGTGCTTGGCTGAGGCTCAGGTGCAGCAACAACAGCAGCAGCAGAGAGGGGAGGAGGAGGAAGAGGAGGAGGAGCCGCAGCGGGGGATGCAGGCGGAGCAGCAAAAGCAGGAGCAGCAGCAAGAAGAGCAGCAGCAGCAACAGCAGAAACACGAGCAGCAAGAGCAGCAGCCGCAGCGTGTGGTGCCGAGGAGTCGGGTGGTGGCGGTGGTGGTGGAGGAGGAGATGATGAATCGCTGTCGCCTGCATGTGGACCAGCTGCTTGCCCTCGTGTCCCCCCACCTCTCTCCCCTGGAGCAGCAGCAGCGGCAGCAGCAGATGGTGCAGGAGGAAGAGGAGGCCAAGAAGAAGGAGGAGGAGGAGCAGCAGCAGCAGCGGACAGGGCAGAGGCAGGGGAGGAATCGTGAGCGTCCGGCACTGGTGCTGCTACATGGGTGGGTGTCCCTTGCTCCAGACCTCGTTCAACCGTCTGTTGCTCCGGAAACCAGTACAAAAGGCAACCCTGGAAGCACCGCCGACAACACCAATATCAATGGTTCCGATAACAGGAACAGCAACCACAACCACAGCACCCCTGCTTGCAGCCGAACCGCCAGCAGCAGCAGCGAGGCGCATGTGGTGTCCAGATTCGGTGCACCTGCCACTCCAGGAGCGTCGGCCTCACCGGTTACCACCGTGCCGTACCTCCTCTCTCTCGGGTTCGATGCTGTGGTTCGGAAGCCGCTTCGGAGGAACACGCTTGCCGCTGCCCTGCTGCCCCTCTTCTTACCGCAATCCCAAAAGTCTGCGTTGTCACACTCGCCTCATGTGAGCAGACGCCACGTAGATACTACCGAGCCGGTGAGACGCTGTGATTCTGATGCTGACCAGGCTAGAGGAGGTCTTGAAATGCTCTCAGGTTACACCAGTGAGCCTGGGAAGCTGGGTAGCTTGCAGGTTGATTGTGGAGTTTGTGACTCTATTGAAAATGATTGCCATGAGTGTGGGAGCAGGGAGGATGAGAGAAAGGAGGGAGAGAGAAAAGAGGGAGGGAGCAGTGGGAGGTTTGGCAAGGACAGGGGTTTATGGAAGCTGCTGTCTCCTCGAAAGTTTCCTGGAAACGTTGCTGCGTGCGAGCCTGACAGGTCTTCATGTCACGCTGCTACAGACAGTTCAAAGGAAGGTGATTCGAGGAAAGATAAGAGGAAACGCAGGGCAACTGAGATCACTCCGGCATCACCACAGTTTACCCCAGCTGCTGCTGCTGCTGCTGCTGCAGATTCTTCTGCTGCTTCTGCATCCCAAATTGCTCGTGCAGGTGGTGCTACTGCTGTGGCTGTGGCAGCACCACCACCACCACCACCGCCTCCAACACCAGCAGCAGCTCCAGAAGCAGCGCCAGCAGCAGCAGCAACAGCAGCAATGCCCGTGCCAGCAGCAGCAGCCCCTGCAGAAGCACCAGCTCCAGCAGCAGCGGCACGGGAGCCGGCAACGGTGGCGGAGGGGCTGAGCGTGCTGGTGGGTCGGCGGGTGATGGTGGTGGATGACAACCTCATCAACCGCAAGGTGGCCAGCAAGCTGCTGGAGAGGCACGGCGCACGAGTCACCGCCGTGGATGGCGGCACCAAGGCGCTTCAAGCCCTTGCTCCGCCCCACCCCTATCAGCTTGTCTTCATGGACCTGCAGGTGAGCCTAGGAGGCGAGGGAGAGATGTGTGGGAGGGTAGCAGATGGTGGGAGGGTGGGAGATGTGTGGGAGGGTAGCAGATGGTGGGAGGGTGGGAGATGTGTGGGAGGGTAGCAGATGGTGGGAGGGTGGGAGATGTGTGGGAGGGTAGCAGATGGTGGGAGGGTGGGAGATGTGTGGGAGGGTAGCAGATGGTGGGAGGGTGGGAGATGTTTGGGAGGGTAGCAGATGGTGGGAGGGTGGGAGATGTGTGGGAGAGTAGCAGATGGTGGGAGGGTGGGAGATGTGTGAGAGGGTGGGAGATGTATGGGAGGGTAGCAAATCAATCATCATTGCTTCATCTTCATCTCTCAACCTCCCTTTCCCCACCTTCCCATGCAGATGCCGGGTATGGACGGGCTGGAGGCGAGTAGGAGCATCCGCCACTCCATTTGGCGTTGAACTCCCCCTTTTCCACCCCTCGTTCCTCTACACCCCCCAGATGCCGGAAATGGATGGGCTGGAGGCGACCCGGAGGATCCGAGCGAGGGAGAGGGCTCAGGGCGGGGGGCATGTGGCCATCATTGCGCTCACAGCGGATGTGATTGCCGGCACGCGCCAGCACTGCTTTGCCGTCGGCATGGATGACTACCTCTCCAAACCCCTTGATGACGCCTCCCTCTCCAAGGCTGTCTGGCGATGCTTGTCTGGGCCGAAGGGAAATGAAATCGTGCAAGGTGATTATTTATGAAATTCTGGGCCATGAATGTTAAGGTCCTCTGATACTCTTGCGTGTATAAATGCAATTCTTACGGTAGCTGTGGAGATGATGTGCTGCCAATTGTACAGTTGTATATTACCTATCGTGTACAGATGTTCTCGTTTATAGTCCGACGGACTGAAACGCCGCGCGCGGACTATGTGCGAAAACCTTCAAACCCTGGGCAATACGCGATACTAATAGTCCCGTTCAGGAAAATTGCATGAAGAGTGGTTTGTTTGCTACTAGTTTTTTTATTTTGACTTTAACGTTGACTCGGACCGCGCTTGCTTCAACTTCTCGTCGCACAGTTCCCCGCGCTGATCAATGTCGCATGACTAACGGGCAAAACAAAACAAAATCAATTAAGGTCTGGGGGTCGAGTAGAAGGTAAAAACTGTCAAATGTTACGTATATCTGCTACAGATTGTTTAGGCTGTAGTGGGGTAGTTACTATGGGGTACAGTAAGTTTAGGGTTTCCTACTTGTACCCAACACTTTCCTAGTGCATTCACTCTTGTTCAATTCTAACATGGTATTACGAGCCTAGGTTAGGAACCTAGGACCACTTAGTCCTAAGGGCCCGCCTTTCCGCTAGCGCCCTCGAGCGCCTTATCGATTTAGCGCCCTCGTGCGCCTCACTGCCAGTGCGCCCTCACGCGCCTCTCCTCCTCTCGCTGCCCGTGCGCAACCCCCTAGCCGCCCGTGCGCGGCCCGTTTTTTCTAGCGCGCGCAGCCCACTAGCAACCCGCGCGCGACCCGAGTCGCGCGCGCGTCGACCGTTAGCCGCCCGAGCGACCAGCGCCGCCCGCGAGCAGCCTCGTTAGCCGCCCGTCGACCGGCCCTGCTGGCCGCGTAGCGCGCTGCAGTCCCGCCCGCCTTAGTAGGCCGCCGCCACGCCTCAGTAGGCCGCCGCCCGCGGGCGCCTGCAGCTCACGCGCAGCCGCGGCCCGTACGCGACACGACCCACACGCAGGCCCGCCGTCGCGCCGCCCTGCTCGTCCGAGCCGCGCCGCGTAGCCTAGTCCGAGCCGCGGCGCGCCGCCCTGCCCGAGCCGCGCCGCGCTGCCCTGCCCGAACCGAGCCGCGCCGCCCTGTCCTAGCCGCGCTGCCCACCTGTTACTGCTGTTCCTGCTGTTACTACTGCTACTGCTACTGCTGTTCCTGCTGTTCCTACTGCTACTGCTGCCACTATGGCTACACCCACAGTTCTCTCTTTCGATGCTGAGGGCCGTCCGCTCCAGTTTGATGCTTGGCTTGACGATCTGCACCTGTTCCTCCAGATCACCGCTAAGGATGATGTCTCGCTGTATGACCATGCGTCCGGAACCGCTCCAGCACCTCCTGACACTGCTGACAGTACAGCTCGCTCCCAATGGCAGACTCGTGACGCCCATGCTCGCCTAGCCATTCGCAGTCACCTGCCGCTAGATGAGCGCGCCCACTTTGGCCAGCACAAGACTGCTAAGGCACTGTACGATGCGGTAGTCGCCCACTACTCCTCGCCTGCCTCTGCTACGATAGGTCGTCTCTCGCTGCCCTATCTCTTCCCCGATCTCGCCGCCTTTCCCACAGTCGCTGACCTCATTACACACCTCCGCACTGGTGAAACTCGCTACCGCGCCGCCCTTCCTGCTGAGTTCCTCACCAAGAACCCTCCCCCGATGTACCTCGTTCTCTACCACCTAGTCACCCGTCTCCCTGACTCTCTTCGCGCAGTCAGGGACCACTTTCTCGCCCTCTGCCCCACCGAGCTCACCATTGACCTCCTCGAGAAGCATCTGCTTGCAGCTGAGTCTAGCATAGTTGCTGTAGGTGCCTCTCGTGGCGACCCCCGCAAGCCCTTCTTTGACGGGTGTTCCCCTCCCCCCCTTCTCCCCTCGGTCGCCTCTGCTGCGGCTGTCGACTACCTTGGTGCTGAGGAAGTCGGGGCTGCGTCTGCTCCTAGTTGGAGGCGCAAGAGTGGTAAGGGCAAGGGGGGCAAGGGTGGTGGCGGTGCCAGCGGGGGAGGTGGAGGTGGAGGTGGAGGCGGTGAGGGCGGTGGGGGTGGTGGCGGTGGTGGGGGTGGTGGCGGGGCTGGGGGGGTCAGTGGCAGCGGCGGGGGTGGTGGCGGCAGTGGTGGTGGAGGAGGCCGGGCTGGAGGTGGTGGTGGTGGCGGCAGTGGGCGTGGTGGCGGCGGCTCGGGTGGTGGTCGGGGTGGACCAGCGCAGCGTGGAGGTTCGAGTAGTGTCCAGCGCCAGCAGCAGCGTCTCGGAGAGACCCCGACGCCCCAGCAGCTTCGTGAGTGGTACTCTCAGCATGGGGGGTCTGGGGGTGGAGGTACCTGCACGTATGTCATCCGCACAGGTGACTGCGCTGGCCAGACGTGTGGGAGGTTCCACACGCCGCAGCGCTGCTTCTTCCGTCTTGACGACGCCTGGCGTGCACAGTTCCCTGAGGCCTCTGAGCTGCCCCGCTGGGCTGATCTGCTTAAAAAGAACATTGATGTCTTTGCACTTGACTTTGATGTTATCCTTGGAGCCATGTATGCATTGACTATTAGTGTTGAGGGTGACTGTTACTTGTGTGTGCCGCCAGACCCAGGCATTGCGACCAGTGAGGCTGCCGCTCTAGGTGCTAGTACGTCTGCTGCCCCAGGTCCTGGTGAGGCTGCTGCTCCAGATGCAGGTGTGTCTGCTGCTTCAGGTGCTTGTGAGTCTACGTCTACTGAGGCACTGCACACCTTCACATTGGACTCAGGTGCTTCCCGCTGTTTCTTTCGCGACCGCACTGCCCTCGAGCAGCTCCCTAGGCCGGTTGCTATCTCCCTGGCTGACCCCTCTGGGGGTCCGGTCCTTGCGACCTCCACCACTGCCCTCCCTTGTCCTGCTGTCGCGTCCGGCACACTGTCGGGCCTTTACCTCCCCTCGTTCTCTACGAACTTGGTGGCGGGTTCTGCGCTCCAGGACGCGGGTGTTCACCAGTTCACCCCTGCCTACGAGCGTGTGACACACTGCACGTGTGCCCAGACGGGTCGTCACCTGGCTACCTTCACTCGGCAGCCGGGGTCGGACTTGTATACACTGACCACTGAGTCTCCTCAGGTAGCTGCGTCTGCGTCTGCGTCAGGTCAGTTGTCCGCCCCCTGCTCGTGTCGCGCCGTGTCGCACCGGACGGTCCTCTGGCACCACCGCCTTGGGCACCCTTCGATGCAGCGCCTTCGTGGCATGCACTCTCGTTTCCTTGTCTCTGGTCTCCCCAGGTCACTGCCTCCCCTGCCACCGTCCCCTGCCCCTCCTTGTCTTCCCTGTGTTGAGGGGCGGCAGCGTGCCACCCCCCACTCCTCTGAGTTCCCCCCGACGGAGGCACCTCTGCAGACCCTTCATATGGACGTGTGGGGCCCAGCCCGCGTCCGTGGACAGGGCGGAGAGTGCTACTACCTGCTGGTAGTTGACGACTACACGCGTTACACCACGGTCTTCCCTTTGCGCACCAAGGGAGAGGTCCCTGCTGTCTTGATCCCTTGGATCCGCACTACCCGTCTCCAGCTGGAGAGGCGCTTTCGCACGGACCTTCCCGTCCTGCGACTGCACTCTGACAGAGGTGGTGAGTTTTCCCCGGCCTCTTGGAGGCCTTCTGTCAGGGGGAGGGCATTCGCCAGATGTTCACGCTTCCGGCCTCTCCGCAGCAGAATGGGGTTGCTGAGCGCCGCATTGGCTTGGTCATGGAGGTCGCTCGTACCTCCTTGATCCATGCGGCTGCCCCCCATTTTCTGTGGCCGTTTGCGGTCCGATATGCCGTGCATCAGCTCAACCTCTAGCCCCGTGTCTCCGTTCCGGAGACCTCGCCGACACTGCGTTGGACGGGAGAGGTTGGCGATGAGTCCGTGTTCCGGGTCTAGGGTTCTCGTGCCTTTGTCTGCGATACGTCCGCGGACAAGCTCTCCTCCCGCGCCGTTCCTTGTGTCTTCCTGGGCTTTGTCCCTGACGCGCCTGACTGGCAGTTTTATCACCCCACCTCGCGCCGTGTCTTCCCCTCTCAGGACGTCACGCTTGACGAGTCGGTCCCCTTTTACCGTCTCTTCCCCTACCGCACTGCCCCGCTCCCCCCTCGGCCGCTCTTCCTCACGCCAGGTGCTGCTTCGGTAGACCTCCTGCCTCCCAAGGGTCCTGCTCCCTCAGGTGTTTCCCAGGTAGACCCGGTCGAGCCTGTCGAGGTAGCTGTCGACTCTGGTCCTGCGCGAGGTCCTGAGCGTGCTGAGCCTGAGCGTGCTGAGCCTGGTGGTCCTGGGCCTGGGAGTGCGGAGACTGGGGGTGCTGAGCCTGGGGGTGCGGAGACTGCGGGTGCTGAGCCTGGGGGTGCGGAGACTGCGGGTGCTGAGCCTGGGGGTGCGGAGGCTGCGGGTGCTGTGCCTGGGGGTGCTGAGCCTGGAGGTCCTGAGCCTGGGGTTGCTGTGCCTGGGGGCGCTCTCTCTTCCCAGCAGCTGCGTGAGTGGTACTCTCGGTACCGTCGCCACCGCCGTGGTGCTGTAGGCGCTAGAGGTGCTACTGGAGCTGGAGCTGAGGACGCTGGGCCTACTGGAGTTGGTGTAGCTGCTGACCCTGGGGTTGGCGCTGGAGGTGCTGGAGCCACTGGTCCAGGAGGTGCTCGTACTGGTGGTACTGGAGCTGCTGGGACTGAGGGTACTACTGGAGCTGCTGGAGGTGCTACTGGTACTGGAGCCGACGGTGCGGCTGGAGCTGGTGCTACTGGGGGTCCTGGAGTTGGCGCTACTGGAGCTGCTGGTGGTGCTGCAGGGGTTGGAGCTGCTGCTGGGAGTTCTGGTGCTGTCTCTGCTGGTTCTGGGGGCGCTTCACGGCCGCGGCCGTACTTCGTTCCGCTCCTTCAGCAGGTTCTTGGTCAGCCGCCTCCTCCTTGTCCTGCGCCTGTCCAGTCGCAGTCACAGTTACAGCCTGCCTCGCCACTCCCTGGTCCTTCTCCCTACACTGGTCCGACAGGAGGTCTTACGGAGC